ACTATTTCAGAGTGGGTACTTCAGATGATTACTATTTCAGAGTGGGTACTTCAGATGATTACTATTTTAGAGTGGGTACTTCAGATGATTACTATTTCAGAGTGGGTACTTCAAATGATTACTATTTCAGAGTGGGTACTTCAAATGTTACAGGTAGAAAATAAATTCTACCTACACAATTTTGAACAAACAGTTTTACTTTTGCAAATAATTGTGTACCATTAAAGCAGAATTCTCATACTGTGGTAAATCTGTAGATGAGGACCCAGAATAATTCTCATTATTGTCGTGTATTTGTGTTTAGACTGTTCGGAGATGAATCTGATTTGCTGTTCTGGACAGTGGCCCTGCATTATCTCAAGTTAGAAAAACTACAGCCAGCCATGAGGGTTTGTGTTTCTGTTAATAAAACAAAAAAGTAATGGAATGTGTTAAACAGTTGACATACAGGCTAAAGGTTGTATAAACCTCCAAAGAATTTTGTAAAGTAGGTTATGTGAATATGTATTCTTGCAAATAAATGCTCCTAATAATTTACTTTCAAGGTTACTGATTAAAGAAAAGAAGAAATGTAATGAACAATACCAGACTATAATATCTCATGGTTAAATGATTTTGAGTGCATATTTTTGATATATTTGATTTCCGAAATAAATGTTTTAAATCAAAATTAACAGTCATTGGTAACAGTACAGATGTTTAGGTCATACTTCTGTGATACAGGGGTTAAATGGCGGTCGGGAGCAGGGTCGTGATCGGTACGTTCCCGCGACCAAGGAGGCCAACGACCTGGTTGTCCTGGACAACCCGGAGGAGGTGGCCCAGCGACACCTGGTGGAGCAGCTGTTCCAGGACCCGCCCCTAGAGAGATACTTTGACACAATCTGTAGTAACACCTCGTTCCAGGTAAAGTCTTCAATTCATCCGTTCTTATTAGGAAGTCTTAAATGAGTAAGAGGTTTAAAGGACTTAGGGCATTATGGGGCTTTTTTGGCCTCATAAAAAGTAAAACATTTAACTTGAATTTATTTACCAATTTCTGTTATAAACATCATATTGGTTAAATGGGGCTATCTTTGGTGTTGACGATTTTTTCCAATGCGCATGTTTAGATGCCCTACCATAGCAACGAAATTATGTTGCTAGGCAGAAATAGTCAAAATATGGTGTTTGCGGACAGTTAGCATGCAGAAATGAAAGCCTCCACATGTGACAAACAAAAATTCCATTCTACGAATGAACATTGGTATGACAATGTTTAAACGTGTCAAATATTTTTTTGTTTGTTGCATGCAGAGGTTTTCAAAAATTGAAGAGTGTTTAGTGAATTTCCCTCGAAATGGCCAATTTTCAACCAAATAGCGCACAACATATTCATATTTACATACTTCATTTACAACTAATTCTAAATCCCCGATGAGGCCATAATGACCCTTAATGCCCCTAGTCCTTTCTCAGATAGAATAACTGTTATGGAAGATATATTCACACTGAAAATTTGTGTTGCTTTCTCATTTTATAAATAAGCAAAAAGTTATGCACATGTGAATATATTGACCTTGTATCTTGAGTAAGATTCATCTGTTTGGACATTTGTATGTATTAAGGTTGTACTTGAGTAATGAGATATATTGGGAAATTACTTTGGACATCTATCCTTGTATCATAATTACTTTGTATACCTGTACGATGGCTGAGTGGTTAAGGCTTCTGATTGTTTATGATCACTAGCCCTCCACCACTGGGTCGCAGGGGGCAGTTGACAGTTAGTACTGGCCACAGGTTGGTGGGTTTTCTTTGGGTACTCCGGCTTTCCTCCACCACTAAAACCTGGCACGTCCTAAAATGACAATAGCTGTTGATAGGACATTAAACACAAACAAACCAAGCATTGTCATCGTGAAGTAAATGTATATATCTGTTACAGAAGTACCAGTTAGATCGGGTAGCCCTCCATGACAGCAAGCGTGCAACTTACGATCACACAAAGAAATGTGCTGAGAACTATGGGATGCTTGGTCAGACCGACCGAGCTGTCCAGTTACTGTTAGAGACGGAGCCCGACAGTGACCAGTATTACACTGACTGTCTAAGGTTAGTTAACATCTAATTGACTGAAAGGTTAATTTTATCTTTGTTTACCCTATCACCATTGTAGACCATAATGGATTCATCCAGATCAATGCATAGTATAGTCTGCTGAAGTTATATAGGGGTGAAAGGGTTAAACAAGTTTTCTAGGTCTTGATTTAATTTCCTGTTTATGTTTGCTCTATCACATTTAGAATTAGATCACACATCTTTTCAGATGAAAGTTGTTTAAAATGAAAAGGTAAGGATGTAAAATACTGTATATCACTTTATTTCACAAATTATGCCTCTAGGTTATATTTATGAATACTTGAGTTCTCAATTAACTGAATGCTGCTTCAGTATCGAGAAAACTTCTCTACAGAATTTACAGTCCAAGAAGATTTAAATTTGCAAGTGACTCAACACCTGAATTAATCTCGGACAACAATAAAGTGATTTTGAGTCCTGATTCTGCAATTGATAACTTGCTGAGGCAGACACTGCAGTGCCTGCAGTCATTCTAATCATTCTATATATCACCATGTTAGAAATACATTTCTACGTTTACAGAGCCTGCCTTGTAGCCAGTATAAGGTCCTCTGGGGCGTCACAGAGCACCATTAAACTGGTAGCTACCAACCTTATAGCTAATGGCAAACTGACAGGTATGTATAATCACCTAACTTATAGAAGTTCAAAACAGAAATAGAAGGGTTCTGATTTTCCTAACCCACAATATTGATTGACAGAGGCATTTTTAACCTCTCAATAATATTCGCCAAATTGGACCCAACTTGATAAAATTGTTTCTTTGGCCCTGCTGTGGTGGAGAGTTTTCTTAGGTGGAAAACTATTATTAGTATGTTTATAATTCCTGGTGTGTTTTCTGCAGAGGGAGTTCAGCTCTTATGTCTGATAGACAAGGGGATGGATGCCTGTCGCTACCTACAAACATATGGTGCATGGGACCAGGCAGTATGGCTTGCTAAGGTAAGGGTCACCGAAGGTCAGGTGTACAAGACCAGGCAGTATGGCTTGCTAAGGTAAGGGTCACACCCATGGTCAGATGTACAAGACCAGGCAGTATGGCTTGCTAAGGTAAGGGTCACCCTAGGTCAGATGTACAAGACCAGGCAGTCTGTCTTGCTAAGGTACGGGTCACCCTAGGTCAGATGTACAAGACCAGGCAGTCTGGCTTGATAAGGTAAGGATCAATCAAGGTCAGATGTACAAGACCAAGCAGTCTGGTTCATCAAGGTCAGGGTCACTCAGGGTCAGATGGTAGAGATCAGACAGTCTATCTCCCCTGAGTGTGTGTGTGGTTGTAGGGCTAAGTAAAGTAGTCTTGCTGTCAAGATGATATGTCACTCTTGTACAGATAAACAGGCTGTAGAACCTGTAGGCCATATGTCTTAACAAAACTTGCTTGAATATTTCATCCAAAAGGGCATGATTTATTGTAAGACTTGGGTCTGTACATTGTAGTTTCATATCAGGATACTATTCCATGGATGATTGATACAGTTGACCATTTGCGAAGATCTCACCAACAGACAGTATTTATATGATGTTTGTGACATGTTTGATACGTGATGTTGTAGGCCACACTGGGTTACACAGACTGTTGTAAGGTATAACATCAGTATATATATGATGTTTGTGACATGTTTGATACGTGATGTTGTAGGCCACATTGGGTTACACAGACTAATGTGAGGTATTACATCAGTATATATATGATGTTTGTGACATGTTTGATATGTGATGTTGTAGGCCACACTGGGTTACACAGACTGTTGTGAGGTATTACATCAGTATATATATGATGTTTGTGACAGGTTTGATACGTGATGTTGTCGGCCACACTGGGTTACACAGACTGCTGTGAGGTATTACATCAGTATATATATGATGTTTGTGCCATGTTTGATACGTGATGTTGTAGGCCACACTGGGTTACACAGTCTGTTGTGAGGTATTACATCAGTATATATATGATGTTTTTGACATGTTTGATACGTGATGTTGTAGGCCACACTGGTTTACACAGACTGCTGTGAGGTATTACATCAGTATATATATGATGTTTGTGACATGTTTGGTATGTGATGTTGTAGGCCACACTGGGTTACACAGACTGCTGTGAGGTACTGAAGCGATGGGTGGATCACCTCTGCAGCACACAAGTCAATCAGAAGGTTTGTCTTCTGGTGTACTGTATTTTACCAATAAATGTATAATGATTCAATATAATATCACTGATTTCATCAAATTCCTATTAAATAAAGATATGAGCTCAGTATTATGTGTAAATAATATAATGTGTATAATGCAGGCAGAATGCCAAAGTAGAGAGGTTTTTTAGGTTCTTTTTTTGCTTGATACCGGTAACCAGATTGTTGTTGCCCTTAATATACTTGATTTGTGGATATAAGAATGTCTTGTACAGACTATGTAACATTAGATGATAAGCTTCTGTTCTCCTCGTTGTTAAAATACTGTGATCCTTCGATCAATTGCCAATCTTTCTCCCTACAGAGTAAGGCACTTCTAGTGATGCTGTCTCTCGGACACTTTCCTAAGGTCCTGGAGATGTTGTACGGTATGCGACAGTTTAACAGGGCAGCATGCTTCGCCGAGGCCTGTATGGAGTTTGGTCTGTTGGATATGACACCTGACACCAGTAAGTTACCGTTTATGTATCATGACGTGTTTGTTTTATTATTGTTAAGTCTTAATAATGGCTTTGACTGGTGGCAGACTGAATTGATTGGAATCCTTGTTGATTATAGAACTGTAATCTTTACAAAATGAAAACATAAGTGCTTTTAATAAGAAAATGTATTATGTAAATATCTTTCTTGAATTTAATGGTGCAGGTATTTTTGGTTACTTTTGCACTTTTGCATTTAAGAATAGGTTTTCCTTGAGGTTTATCCTTCTTGTTTGAGAGCCCATCTCAAAAATCTCCAGATCAGCTACAATATTCCCTGATTGCCATGTCTGCCAACATATATACCCGTCATGATATCAACCGTTCTGTGTACTGCAAAGATGTTAAAGTGAAATATCTGAAATTTACAGAATCATTGGTGGAAGCCATTTTCCTGGAATATGCTCGGCAACTCATCAACCTAGGTCACAGGAAGGCTTCAGAACACTACTGTCGTCACGCTGGTGACAAAGGGACACAACTCATGAAGGAGGTCGACATTCTCTTCTCCTGACATTTAACACTACCGCCAGCTTAGTGTTATTATCAAGGGAACACAACTCATAAAGGAAGTCAACATCTCTCCTGACACGATATTTGACATTACAGTCAGTTATGTTGTCACCAAGGGGAGACAACTCATGGAAGAAGACATCCTCTTTCTGGCATGACACTGCCCTGACCATTGTTGCTGTCAAATGGACACTACTGATAAAGGAGTTGGACATTGTTCTCTTGACAGGACACTACTGCCATCATTTTTTATCGAAGGACCACTGGACCAGAAACCCTCTTCTATTGACTTGATATTTCTACTGGAAAGACATGTTTCCATGGTTTATACCATTCCTGAATGCTTTCGAAGCAAGTCGTGCTTTTAAATGTGTTAAAATTTCAGTGTTTCAAACAGCTCTTGCTGTATCGTGTAGACACACTGTGTTCTCTCTAGTATAACTGTTTTATCAGTAATATTTATTGACTAAGTCTGTGTGCTATCAGATAAAAGTGTTTGCTGTCCGTCTGAACTGTTTTTGTCTCGCCACTACGAAGTAGCGGAAGCGAGACTACGGTGCTTTTCCAGCTTTTAGTTTCACTGAAAGTATTAGTGCTAGACCAACCAAACTTGTACAAGAGATGCATCTTAGGTAGTACATCTCAACCCATGCATCAAATGCTTGATGCAGTCTACCTTTCATGGTCCATTGACTTTGTCAGCATCTCCGTCACATTAAGATTTTGCTAGTGCTAGACCAACAAAACTTGACATGTGCATTGATGGTCAAAGCAGGCACAGGCGAGACATATCAATCCGAATGGCTTGTTGTGTATGTAAAAATGACATATTTCAAATGTGAGTTGTAAGACAACTTAGGTTACCGCTGTACTTAAGGAAGGTGTAATGTGGTAACTACAGATGAGTGGGTCCAATGGGAAGTATTGATTGACTGGTTTAAATACTATATAATATATAGGTTTGGTTACTTTCTTGTGTTTGATTTAATTGAGGGGATATATTTGGTTGAAGTGCAATAGATAAATAGTTATGTACCGTACTATATCTACATGGAAACCATGTATTATTGTAGTTCTTAAATTTTGTGATTGAAAAAATCCAATTGTTTTTGGGGACATAAATTGTCGAAAACTTGTTACTTCTTATTAGGTGTTACCAGTTTATTTCTCAAGCCATAGAATATACCTATTTGATACATACTCGGGCTGATATTACAGTCTCGAGTTGATACTGGGTGTGATATGGAAAAAGGCATTATTCTCTATACCATATATCAATTACATGGTTCTTGTTGTTCTCATAGTCTACTCTAAGTAGTGCTGTAGCTCTGACCATATTCAGTTCCTTGTATGTAGTATCATTAACATGCCATTAAAACACAAATGCTCATTAATCTCAGCAATAATTCAATCAGATTGATATTGCTTTGTCAATATATGTTATTTGACTAAGCAGATACCTTTCTCATTATCATCTTTTTTCATCTCAATGTTTTGTAATTGTGAACAACATATATTTAAATTTCCCCATAAAAGTTTATTACTTCACACTTTGTATTATCAGTAGTTGATGGGGCCAGTATAATAAAAGCATATTCCAACTAACAATGACCCTGTGTGTCTGGGTTTTGCATTATTACAGAGACTCCCAGTATTATCAAGTTAGCCATAGCAGATATTAGGAACATGTACACTGGATAAAAAAAGGGAGTACTTATAAAAGGGGGTACCGTGTTCTTAGATACGGGGTATTTGTAATAGATGTGGGGTACTTGTAATAGATGCGGGGTACTTGTAAAGGATGGGACACTAACTAGATAAAATACAATAACTGATCTCTGAAGGACTCGTGAAAGGGAAGGCTTTTAACAGTGATGTAATACATTCAATGGGACCTGTTTATGTTAGTGTGATTTCTGTACAACCATGATATTGTATGTGGACATATTGGTCTGTGTAAATGTCCCCAGTTCCCAGATTTCCCAGATAGGCTTTATTTTTTGCATAATTAGTCGTCTGGTCAGAGTGTTGAAGCCTACAGTTATTGACAGTGTAATTGTGTACTGTCATCAATCTGTGTTTGTTGGTATCTTTCGTGACATACATTTTAGCTCTTATTCTTTCCTAGTTATGCTGTGCTGAAATTTCCTTTGTACGTTGCTGCAGTACTATTCTGGCTCTTCTCTGACTACAGCATTAAATTTAAATAAAACACATTAATATTTAAATTGAAAAATATGATTTTGTCTGTTCTAGTAAATAAGTATGTATGACACAATGCCTGAGAACTTGTCAACACTGGGTGCCGATAGAATTCCATATCTTAGAGTGCTTAGTGTTTGTTACATAAGAATAAAGAGATAGATAGTTAGATAATACTTAAAGATAATGAAGTCCTTTAATCACGTAGGGCTTAGAATATTTTGTATTTGTTAAATATGGTTTACAATATCAGTTAGGAAAACTGTTTAAAAGAGGCAAATAATTCTGAGTAAAACATGCTGAATAGGAGTAAAATTGTTGTGATTTTTTAATTCATTGTTGAAACAATATACTAATGGTTTTATTTTGTTTTCTTTTTAATAGGATTAGGAATATTGTGTTTTATGTTCTAGAGATTTTTTTTTAATGGAGGTTAGGATTATGGAGGTCGGCATTTGATAAAAAAGTGTTTCATTTCATCATGGTTGACACTAAGTGGTAACAATGTACCGGTTATGTAACAGTTAGGACAGTTTCTGACCACATTCCAATGTCTATTTTGGGTTATTTATTCTACATAACATTTATTTGTTGTTTTTTCTTTAATGCATGTTGAATTAAAAAATATATTATTAATGTTGTCAATTATTTGTAAATAATATGAGTGAATTAAATCAAACGTAGTTGTCTTCTGAGATATTAGTGTACTAAGTGATGTTCTATGTTGTAACTCAATGCTTTATCAATTATCTTTGTGATATTAATGAATGTACATTATATAAATAAAAAGTTACAGCCTGTCATGTCTAGATTTTGAGCGACTATTTCATTGATGATACTCCTTCCCAGTTATCAGAGTTGAGCTGACTGTGAGACTTGATTAACCTTGTGTTGCTATAGTAAGTTTGTTACTGACTGTGAGACTTGTTAAACCTTGTGTTGCTATAGTAACTTTGTTATTGACTGTGAGACTTGTTTAACCTTGTGTTGCTATAGTAACTTTGTTACTGACTGTGAGACTTGTTTAACCTTGTGTTGCTATAATAACATTGTTACTGACTGTGAGACTTGATTAACCTTTTGTTGCTATAGTAAAATTGTTACTGACTGTGAGACTTGATTAACCTTGTGTTGCTATAGTAACTTTGTTACTGACTGTGAGACTTGTTTAACCTTGTGTTGCTATAATAACATTGTTACTGACTGTGAGACTTGATTAACCTTGTGTTGCTATAGTAACTTTGTTACTGACTGTGAGACTTGCCTAACCTTTTGTGTTGCTATAGTAACTTTGTTACTTGTCCGTGAATGATTTACAATTCAATTTCCTGCTGGGAATTTGTCAAGTAAACATATGGTCTATTTTCTAAGGTCTATAGATGTAAATCTCTCATGCTTATCACTTCGTAAAACAGTATATGGTTGCTTATGTTTACAAGTGTTTCCCTGTGGTAGGATTGTGTTTTCTGATTGTAACACTTTATAGATATCCCTTGAGTGTTGGTTACACTTTAGCCAATAACAGACATGTACTTATGTTTACAAGTGTTTCCCTGTGGTAGGATTGTGTTGGGATACACTGACTGGTAGTAACACTTCATTGATATCCCTGGAGTTTTAAGTTTCTCATTAGCCAATAACATACATGTACTATGTTATACACTGAAGATATTTTATTGTTGTAAGATATTTATGAATTTCTCAATATAAATATTGCACATCAGTTGATTATCTGAAGAATGGGTATTTTCTGTATCAGTGAAATATCAACTTAAAGCCCATGTTTTAATAACTCTATGAAAACGTAATGTGTATTCTGTAAGAAGTTGGTATCTGAGGATGACAATGTGGATTGCATGTAGTATACATGTGATGTACAAAGTTGATCTAGTTTTACTACCAACACTGCCACTGTATCTCAAATGTCTGGAAAAACGGGACAAGTATTCAGGGATGATAGACAAATTACATTATATGGTTGCTTATTACATCAATTACATCAACGACATTCCAATAGCTGATTTATCATCTTAAAATATATATCGTCATAAAAACAACTTCTTTTTATTTCAAATTTCCTGAGTAATTTGACTGTTTTCTTTTATGACTAATTATTTCTGGGGATCATCATTAATTTGTCCAAGGACTCCTGAGACCTGTCTTGCACTCAAGCATGGAATCTACGCTCAGATCTATCTTCTTGTAACTCACATATAAAGTAAATTAGAATTAGAAATTAGAGAGAACCAAATCCATGTCTGAGCACGAGAACGGGTTGACGAATACAATGTATGGTAGACAAAAGAAAAACACTGGGTCAAGATTTTCATATTTAATACTGTCAGCATTATGACATGTAGTTATATACAAAGCACTGATTACACATATAGCAGTAAGGGGAGATAATACATACATGTTGACAGAAAGATCACACATACATAAACAAGTGGAGACAATACAACCATAGCAACAAAGGGAGATAATACATCCATAGCAACAAAGGGAGATAATACATCCATAGCAACAAGGGGAGATTATACATACATATTGACAGAAAGGCCACACAAACATTAACAAGGGGAGACAATACATATTAAAAAGAGGATAACACATACATATTAACAAGGGGAGACAATACATACATAGCAACAAGGGGAGAAAATACATATATGTCAAAATATATAACAACAAGGGAGATAACACAAGCTACAGATTGGATTTAACAGTCATATGTTAGCTGCACTATATCACTGGCATTCTTTGGGCACAATTTCATGTAATATATGACTGGCTACATAATAAATTAAGCATATTTACAAAATTTTACACATTTTAGGAATTCATATTTGTCCGTTGAAAGCACACGGTAAGTCGTTGTTTACACAGTTTAGTTCTGTACAAGTGATGACCTCCAGATATTGTTTAGAACAAATAATGTTACACATGTCCTTTGATGTCAAGCCATTCAACACTGGAAAAAACATACTGTCATTGAAAGTGGCTTTTATATTGTCACGAATTGCCTTTGTAGTATATTTACAAGGGAGATATGTCCCCATCACTGGACGATCTATCGTGGGTCTGTCGGTGTCGGATCATGTTCCCAGACTGGGCGAAGCTCTTACCACACAGGTTACAGGTGTAGGGTTTCTCGCCGGTGTGTGTACGCTGGTGCTTGGTGAAGGTAGAATAGTCAGCGAAGGACTTGGTACACATGTTACAGGTGTAGGGACGCTCGCCTGTGTGGATCCTGATGTGGGTCCTCAGGGTGGAACGCTGGTTAAAGGCCTTGCTGCAATACTCACACTTAAATGGCTTCTCTCCACTGTGTCGACGCATGTGCACTCTCAGGTTGGCCTTGGAGGAGAAAATCTTGTGGCAGATTTCGCAGACATTCTTTGTAGTGGTGAGTTCGCTGTGACCAATCTTGGTGAAGGCAGATGGCGAGGTTTCCTCCTTAGGTGGTGTGATGGGTTCAGGCTTGATGGGCACAAAACTACAAAAGTCACTAGAATCTGACTTGGTGGGTGTGTCATTGCTGGAAGATGAGCTGTCCATGATGAGGTCGGCGAGGTCGGGAGCATTGTCCATCACCTGGTCGATGAGCTGTGTGAGGTAGGGAGACATGTCCATGGCAGGGGAGGTGCTCGGACGGGACAGGAGAGGACTCAGTCTGTATTCAGCATCCTCCTCATCAAGACTCTCCAGGGCCAAGCTTGGCAGGAAAAAGCCAGAGGGTGACACAGTCTCTTGGCGGGGCAGGTTGGCATAGCGACAATCAGGAAACTTTTCTGGAGCGGAAAGGTTTGGCTTGCTGCTCTCTGCTAACATTTTCTGTAGCTTGGGAAATGTGCCGAGGACCTTCTCAAAGATGGCTGCTCTCAGTTCGTTCTTGGTGTTGCGATGGAGGAAGCTATCCACACTTATGAAGGGGAAACCCTGGCCTGGCATCATCGGAGGCATGTACATCATGGGTGGGACTCTCTGCTCGGGGAACTGGCTCTGGCCTGGGAACATGGCTGGCTGCTGGTAGGGGTAACCTGGAAACCATGGATTGGTGGGCATACCGGCCATCTGAGGAGGGAGCTGACCGTACACACGAGGGTCAGGTACAGAATAGGGTGAAAAGGCTGGATGTCCCATCTTCTGGAATGGTGGTGATGACTCAGGACCTTTAGATCTGAAATTTAACATAAATTTATTAATTTTGTGTTGATTAGATATATTCTGATAATTTCACTTTAACAAATATGAACAACTCATTTCACATATTTTTTTAATTTATCACAGAGATTTGGGTAATACTGCATTCTGCTAGACTATTGTAAATATAAAATGAAGTGAAACAACAAACATGAAAATGTGTTATATTTTAACTTGAAAAAGATACCAGTGATCATTGCATTTGATGTTGAGAAAGGAGATAACAATTATAATATTTGTGACAGGCTTAATACAATTAGGCAAATATAACAATAGGTAGTTTTTGTTCAAGTTGCTTTATCATTTCATTTGTCAAAAATGCTATTTCGGAAAATAAAATTACCGTGTAACAAACAAGGAAGATAACATGAAAATAGAATATTTAAAAAACAATCCAGATATATTACAGCTGTAAATGGGATGCTAAATGATACATCAGTATACCATGTTAAACATCTTCTTGACATCTATTTGTTAATGAAACTGAACATATCTACTTAAAAATGCATTTTTAATCTGTATAGTTGCATTTGACAAAGTTGAAAATCAGCTGAAATATACCAGTTAATTTATTGAAAATAAAATAATGTATACTCAAAATGTGTCAGTTCATATGCTTACAAAATATAATATACCAGGTACCAGTTCAATACTCAAAAAAATACTAGTTTGCTTGTTAAAATAGAAATCAAAATTCCTACTTTATATCTTCAAATCAAAGCAAAAAATATACATATAAACAGTTATTATACTCAATTAACAATGTTTCAGTTAAAACATTAAACAGAATTCTGATGGAGCATGGACAACATAGCAGAATTTTACTTTTAAATAAAATTCATCAAGTGAGATTCCGCCATTTTGTCCATCCTCCTTTATTTTTCATTTATGAGATTAAGGGGGGGGNAAAAATGAAATAAAATATATTGGTGACAGAAGGGTAAAATTAATCACAAAAAGGAACATGGAGGAACTGCACCCCCCCCCCCCCCCCCCCCCACACACACACACTGAATTACCCTTTTTACTGCATGTACAAATATATCAAACTTTTCAGAACAAATCCTCTAGTCTGACTGATTTCTACTGTCAAAGTAATTTGTTTGACCTCTAACTCTGACCTACCACAACTGACCTCTACCTCTGACCTTACATAAGTAACCTCTACATTTGATCTAACTTCACTGACTGAAGAGGTAGAGTTCAGTTTTACCTCTACAACTTACCTAACTCTATTTTTGACATAATCTGATTATTATCTACCTCTGACCTAATGAACTTACTTCTGACCTACCCTCACTGACCTTTACCTCTTATGTGATCTGACCTCTACGCCTGACCTAACCTTTTGACATATCCCTTTGATATGACCTGACTTAACCAACCCCTGATTAACCTGACAAACCTCTGACCTAACCTGTCTCAACTTACCTTTGACCTACCCCAACTGACCCCTACCTTTGACCTTCCCCAACTGACCTCTACCTTTGACCTACCCCAAGTGACCTACCCAACTGACCTCTACCTTTGACCTACCCCTACTGACCTATACCTTTGACCTCTATATCTGACCTACCCCAACTGACCTATACCTTTGACCTACCACAAATGACCTGTACCTTTGACCTACCACAAATGACCTACCTCAGCTGACCACTATCTCTGACCTACCCCAACTGACCTCAACATTACCTAATCTGACTGACCCCTACCTCTGGCCTAACCTGACTGACCCCTACCTTTGACCTAACCTGGCTGACCTCTACCTTTAGTTTTTATAAACTTTTACTTTATGTACAAACGATGTATTTATTATACACGTTTAATAGTACTTTGTTTGTGTATTTCCAAACTGATGAATCTTATTAAAGATATCTATTAAACTTCATAATATCATCACGATAAGATATGATAATGACTATGATGTACACAGTTATAGATATTGAGTAACGTTGGTCAATGGGATACACTATAACCACTAATACAGTGAGAGCAGGTCAGATCTGACCTAAAACTTATAAAACTAAGTAAAATGTCAAATTACTCATACAAATCTTGATTGGATTAGCAACGGACAATATTTGCTTTAAAGTTTTGAGTCTGTTTAATATACAAATAGTTCAATGACCCTTTCTTCTCCTATCACGTCTTCCTTATGTGAAACTAAACGGTAAATATGTGAATTAATTAACTTGGTACATTTGATACCAGTTAATGATAACAATACTTTACAACAGCGAATATATGGAGTATAACTAGACAAAGCCCATTAACCTGCTTACACTACTTTCATTTGATAACTGTCAAACATATGTTGAATTCATTATATTCAACAAAGAATATAGTACATTTAACTCATTTACACCTGAAGGCACATTTTAACTCTCCCAATTCAAAGGTTGGAATAGTTCATTATGGTATTTCAGGGGTAAATGAGTTAATCTTGGACTTACAATGCAAACGTGATTTTTTTCCCCTTGCCTTGACCATTTGCCTATTGATTTTAAACGTTCGTAGATTCTCATTGTCGTGTTTTGCTCCTGATACTAATGGCGCTGACGACTTACATGTATTAAACATGTATTAAACAATTAACAATTGATACAAAAAATAGATTTAAACGCATTTCGTGTTCTGTATATTTTCATAATAACATACTCGACAAAAACTATAATGGCTAAATATTACTGTCTGTTGTAATTTTCACTCATTAACGTTATGTATCCGAACAATAAGTATCAACGCACGCCTCTCTACCATATTTTTTTTTATTTTGACCCTAGATTTGTATCACCTACTGACCCTATTCTATGACCATTTGAAAATTAATAGCCAATGTTAAATGTGGAAATGCATTTTAAAATTTGATATACAGGATAATATTGATCTATTGAAATGAAAAATAATAAAATAAAATGATTTTCCTTTCCTGCTTTTTTCAGGCATGTTTGCCTAATCTTATTCTGTTATTTTAGTTTCCATTAACAAATTATATGTTGGAACTGTTACTTAAATTGAAAATGAATCATAAGGTATATTGACAATATACACAAAAAAACTCATCATTAAAAAAAGACGACTGGAGGGGCAGTATACTCGATATAGTAAAACGCTGTTCAAAATACGTGGTCGTTCGGTGGCATGTATCAAAAATATAATAATACAGAATTAGGTTTGTATTTACAACCAATGATATCATTATATTTCAGTTTTTATACCACCACAAACACTTCAACTTGATAATCTATAATACACTCAGGATTTCGGGGACCAGGGCCCGTATTCTTGAAACCATTATCATACTCAAGCATGGATTTTGCGCTCAAATCAAGTTTCTTATAACTTACTTAAATCGTATCACAAAGAAGGAAAAATGAAAACTGTTTACAGCTGTAAGTCTCTCCATATTTCTTCCATCTTTTTGACAAAATGTCTTTTTTATGATTTTATGATCACATAAAATGATAATCAAGATATTGGACTTGCGCACATAATCTGAGTTTGGGCATGAGAATGGTTTCATGATTACGGGCCCTGACATATTATTGGCACAGTAGTAATTCACATCAACATTTGTCCCGGTATTTTCGGGAATGTGGCAGAAAATAAAACGACCGTACCTTATTTCTGACGACTGGAGCCCGGGGTACTGGACATGTGACGGAGGCATGGAGTGACCGATCAAGGACTTCGTTGTACTCATCATGGAGGCAGCCATCTGAGAAAAAAACCCAACAAAAATTAATAAAAAGTAATACGATATCTATAAATACGTGTAGAAATTAATTAAGGCATTACGAGATCTATAAATATATGTAGTAGACATAGCCATCTGAGGAATAAAACAACGATATCAATAAAGGCTATACGAGATCTATATTTATTTAGAAACAAAACGAATGTATTTACACTTACCAAATATTTCCTATAGACTCAATAAGTCAATTTAATTTAATTTTTATTTGTGAAATATATATATAATTAACAAAAAACACAACCAACCGACAAATAAAAAATAAATAAACAAAATGTCACAAAAGTTATTATTGTGGTTGTGGTTATAAAAGTAAATGTTATGGATAAAACAATGATAATTTAATCAGGTAATACAAAAGCAAATGAGTCTCAGAGATCATTTCACTTTCAACTAGATTTCTTGCTAAATATTTATAATGCTACAATTTAAATAGTTAGAGAAAAAAATGTTTTGTATGACACATGAAAAATGACAGATTTGTTACAAGGTTACTTTTTTTCAATATAAATATGCTATTTTTTAATACATACAAATTTTTCTGACAAATTAGCATTTAACAATCCATTGACAGTCAGCTGTGTAATAAACCGTTAAATAAAAGTTTTTTTGTTTTTGTTGAATTTTAGTCTGCAGATGTACCCTTTTAGATTGAATAAAACACTTACCTTTCAAATGTGAAGTCAAAATATTTTGATATGTCTATGGTTGCGTTTTGGAGTTCTCAGTGTTTATGACTTCAATTCGGAGATGATTTCATTTTTTAAGACATTCCTGTACAAAGTTTCAACAGTCACATCCCTTGATTGGTCAATTAGTTGTCACCGATCCCGCCCACTTCCACTATGAATCATTCGAATGCATCGAACGTATTAATAACATCGTTCGACTAGAGGGTTCCGGGTGTGATTTGAAGCCAACTAATCGGTCAGGGTGGGCGGAGTCTAACGGCACACCTCGCGTGCAAAGTTGAGGTGAGTAGATTTATGGCTTAATGAGGTGTGATCGATTGTTTTCATTGCAGATCGATGATCTCCTATTGTATTTCTGTCTTTGATCTGTGATCAGGAGTACAACTCCGACTAGAATCACAACGGTGAGGAAGAATTTGACGTCAGGGTTTCAGGTTTGTTTATACAAATAAGGATGAGTGTCAATGAATTTTGTAATATGTTTTCATATTCAAAGTTTTCTATGATAAGAAACAAAAGGATTAGACCTTCGACAAATCCTTTGTAATTTTTTCTGTGCAATATTCTGATTTGAATAATTCGTAAAGTAAATTTAATAAATGATGGACATATATTTCAAACTTTTTTCTAATGCATTATTGTAAAATAAATTCACCTACTACGTCAATGGTATACTAGTGTAACATATTTGGATTAGGGTAAGGGGTCGCTTTATCGTCATACTTATTAAAGATCACAATACCGCTATGCAAAAAATAGAGACTTTCTATTGTGTTGGCTAAAATGGTAAATATGTTTATTCAATTAAAAACGAACAAATGGCAATTGAATTTATTCAAACTCTACGGCTTCACTTACATATGACATAGTGAAGCATTTTATAATAAGAAGCATATCTTTTTTACCGTAGTAATTAGTATGATCCTTTTCCATTAAACAATGACACCATCAATACAATTGGCAGTATATTTTATATATCAATATTTATTTATAAAAGTAACATTAACGTACCAATGGGGATACATATTACATTAGCACCAGTACCTACTTCAGTAAATTTACTTCATGCCCAATCACGACTTTATTAAGTTGGCAAAGTAATGTCGGACTGATAAAATACTGGCATAGATATATGGTAACTTATAACACACCTCATCATTGATCATGTGATCATACCAGTTCCATTATTGCATCTATACGGTTAGGATGATGTAACTAAATGTTTAAATATTATCAAACTATTATATATATTTTTTTTAGCATGTATATATAATTAAATGAATTATTTTCTGTACTTAACCTAACTCAATCATACTTGTTGATAGTTGCTAGTCAATTTAGATAATATTATAACTATCATATAGCGAATGTATGATTGAGTGTATGAGTTTAATACAATAATATAGATAGCTTATTAATTACATGTATATATATAATGTCATACTTACACCATCTCGGAGAAGATTGATATATGCCTAGCCTGTTATCTTATCCATTTATATATGTTAATATATATATATAATATCATACTTACACCATCTCGGAGAAGATTGTTATAGGCCTAGCCTGTTATCTTATCCATTTATATATGTTAATATACATACATAATACAATTTGTTAAAACATACCATACATACCAGTTCCTACTTGAAAAAATCTAAACGATTTGCAATTTCGATTTCAAAAGTATTTTATTGACAATACATATATAATACAAACATATAAGTTAAACATTAAAGAAGATATTAGAACAGTATTGACAAAAGAATTAGACAACAGGCTTTGCCTATATCAGTCTTCTTCTATTTCCGGTAGCTATGTACAATGCTTAAATATATAAAATGTTGTAATTCGTTTTCCTCTCACACACATGCACACGCACCACCAGCTTATGTCTAATACTCGTTATTTAAGGGACAAAACTTGCCTGAATAATAATAATAATAACAATACATGAATATTCATTTGGAATTTATCTAGCACGTATAAGTAACGAAACGTTTTGATGATTTAATATAAGAGTCAACATGTATACGAATAGTTTGCAATTCATAAATGATATTCTAAGTTCTAATCCTAAACTATAATAAAGTACGAATGGGAGTATGTGAGCCAGTGAGAATGTGTCCCTTTACTGTAATTTATTAATCACATTTGCCCTTATTGTCCTACTGTCTATTTTCTATACCTAATATAATAAGTTTATCTATAAACAACCGGTTATCTATGGAAAAGACTGATATAGGCTTAGCCTGTTGTCTCACCTTTTGGTGATACGTGTATTGTTTTATTTACTTATATTCTGTTCATTTGTATTATTGTAATCATAGTCAAATATTTTGAAATGAAATTGCATCAATTATCTGAATAATGATTGAAGTATGAACCCAATCGGGAACCGTCGGCACTTTCCGTAAACGAGAAATTAGTATTATCTCATTTACGGAAAGTGCCGACGGTTCCCGATTGGTATGAACCTTATCTTTGAATAAAAAGAATAGTCAAGTCGGTTTGGACATGTATTACGTCATACGAGCGAACAAATTGACGTACAAATCACCTGAACAACATTGATTTTGCACAATAATTTTCAGACGTAAGTTTCTTTAGTGTAGATAATGACGGACGAGGAGGCCTACTGAATACAAACAGGATATGGCATAATCAAATTATTTATCAAAACTGATATTGTATCTTAAAAGCTTACAACCGTAAGAACTTATCATATATTTCAGAATCCTAGTTCAAAAAAATATACTGTTGTTCCAGCGCTAAAGGTGGTTTATCTTATCAGTACACAGAGGTTTAATGAAATAAGTGACGTTCGATTTAGTAATCACAGATTTTTTTTTAGGTATCAATTTCATGTCGAAAAAAACCCGGACCCTAGTATGTCGATGAAATCAATTTCGTGTCGAAACAAACCCTGGTTGGTCGATGCAATTAAGGTCATGTCGAACCAAAGCCCAGCATGTTATGTCAATGCAATCGCTTTGATGTTGAAACAAACCCTGGTATATCGATACAATCAAGGTCATGTCGAAACAAACCCTGGTATGTCGATACAATCAAGGTCATGTCCAAACAAACCCCTGGTATGTCGATACAATCAATTTAATGTCCAAACAAACCCCTGGTATGTCGATACAATCGATTTAATGTCCAAACAAACCCCTGGTATGTCGATACAATCGATTTAATGTCCAAAAAAAACCCCTGGTATGTTGATACAATCAATTTGATGTCCAAACAAACCCCTGGTATGTCGATGCAATCAATTTGATGTCTAAACAAACCCCTGGTATGTCGACGCATCACGATGTTTCTCAGACAAAGATCACACATTGCAGTATCAAGACTTTTAATTGATATTAGTTAATGATAACAAATACAATTTCAGTGTATAATGAGAAAAAATAATTACATCATTATTTTCTTGTACATGGAATATACTATTAAGATGTAACATTCTTTTTCTATTTATTCATAAATACGATAAAATGATGCGTGGACACTGGAAGTTTAATAGGGAAAAGACAGCTATAGGCTTTGCTTGTTATATAATCATTTTAAAATTTATAGTGATCTCTTACAAATATTTCTGTACTTGTGATCTATCTGTAAGTCTTCCCGGTAGTAAAAATTAAACATTTTGAAAAAAAAAAAAAAAAAGACAAAATGTAGAGATGTGTATAACATAGGATTTACAACGGTTTCGCAGAACAAATAAATAATGATGTCTGTCTAATTTATTGTTACTTCAATCACAAACAGTCATTTACATCGCCGATTAATGTATACCGTCATCATCAATAAATAATATATATGACGATACTATGATATCGACAGCTATAGCATCATATATCACGACACTACTAAAACGGTGTTGCTAATATTATTTTTATTACTAAAATAATTTAAATCTGGGCGAGGAAAGATCATGATTGCGCTATCATGATAGTGTTATCTGAAAAAAACACCATGGTATACGTTATTGCAATGATAAAATCCGAGAATATGTTTTTTCCGAAGGTATGAAGAAAGACCCGAACGTATATCAAACCGAAAGTAGGAAACCCACGATCTTCGAGTTCGACGCGCTGGTTCAAGAACAAAATCAGTACGTTTGAGAAGAAATTAACCTATTGGGTGATGTTTCAAGGAAAGCGACGAGAGCGATTTAGAATACGCTGAGCTACGGAGGGTTGCCTAGGTAAGACGGAGGTTATGCCTGGTTACAGGTGTTGCATTTGCGTGTAATTTGATCGAGTGTCGTATTTCTAGTTCTATTAGACAGGTATAGGTAATTACCACTTTCAAGAAGTTGAAGATATTGTCCTGTTAGAGAGAGAGACTCGCAAATGATAGGATACACATTAAAATTCATTTTTAGAGTGAAAGAAAGCGTTTGGACTCTCATTTTCCATAAATGTAGTCTGAGCAAGCAAGTGGTCGGGCCAATCCCCACCGACGAGACTTATTCGACAGTCCGCAAGCACTAAGGTTAGGTGGGAGGATGGTGTCGTTCTAGTGTAGAATAATGCATTAAATATTTCTAGATAAGGACATTTAAGATGTTGTACACGTCAGATTACGTGTGTCTATAAATAACTTGGACGGCAAGTTTACTTTCATTTCAGCAGAGCGTGTTCTCTGTTGTTACAAATCTGATAACGGCAGCAGAATAAGCCATATATAGGCCTATATATCCTTTAGGACTGTGGGAAACTGCACAGTGAGTTCATTTTTTCTTCTAATTGCCATATCACTCATTACCTCCCCTTTCTCCTCACTCTTATAGATTTGTACACATTCCCCTAGTTATCAAGTATCAACTCATTTATTCCTCTTTCCCTCAGTGTGTGTCTATCTCTGTTTCAATGTCATGGAAAAGTCAACAGCTGGATAGAAAAAATCTTCCCAAGTGCAAGTTGGGGGGGGGGGGGGGGGGGGGGGNGAATCCAACACTGTCCCAGTAAGATCAGGGGTTCTCCAAGGTTTGGTCCTTAGGCCATGCCTTTTTCTGTTTTAAAGAAACAATATAGGTGAGGGCATTACATCATCTATTAGGCTCTGTTCAGGTCAGTTCATTATGTGTTTCACAGTAACACGAGGGAGAGATTCACACTCCCTGCAAAGAGATCTTGACAGCTAGACTAGGTCTTTGGTGGAGAAAATGGAAGATGGCGTTCCATCCTGACAAATGCCTGGTCCTCTTTATGACTAGGAATAGACACCCAATAGTCCATCCATATACACTCCATGACCATAATGATAATAGACATTCTTTATTGAGGATAAGTACATGTTTAGCCATGGGATAATCTTCCACATGGTCATGAAACTCCAACATGTGTCAGAAGGCAAATACCTGGGTGTTAAGATCAGATATGAAGTGGAAGTCTCATGTTAATAACATCACTAGGAAGGCAAAAACAACCTTGGGCTTGTACTTTTTACCAAAGTTCTTTCCAAACTGTCTCCTACACAATGTCGGTGTGGAAAGAATCATTCTTTCCCCAGACAATCAGCAATTTGGATAAACTATCCCCTGAAATCATATCAGCAGATACTCCAATGTCTTTCAAATCAGCAATCTTCTCCTTTAAATTCTAATTTTGATCCCTTTCATTTCACATGATGAATATCATTTTAAACCTATTGAAATCATTTATATATTGCTAGAAGTAGAAGTCTATCTGCCTCTCTCTCTCTCTGTTAATTTCATGACCCTTTCTGATGATCCCTTCAAACATTTTCCCCTTGCCCTTCTATTTTCTTCTTTCCTTCTTTCCCAGTGCCTATTCCCTTTAAAATGTTAAGAAATTTACCATTAAAGAAATTTGATAAGAATTTGGTGCAAATTGTCTTTACTGTTTTATTTATAATATATGTATTCTTCAATGAAATTACACAGTTAATATTATTAGCAGTTTATTTTTTTTAGGGTGGTGAATAGACAAATTTTAAAAAGATGGATCAGAGACCCGAGAGTACAGGTACCCCTCCTATCAGTGAACTCCAAGGGTATCATGGGGCTCACACAACATCTTCCACAGGCCATGAACCTTCAGTCCAGTCTGGATTCCCACCATCTTCTATAGGGTACACACCAGCTAACCAGACACAAGGTCAACCATACTTTCATCATCAAGGTCAAGTTCAAGGTCAGTCAGTAGAGCAGCAACACATTCAACCACAAGGTCAGCTTCAAAGTCATTGGCAACAGAATAATCCACAGATGGAGACTAGAAATCATCCACAAGGTCACTTTCAAGGTCAGTGTGATGGTCAGATTCAGGGTCAGCCCCATGGTCACCAAGGAAATGTCCAAAATGCTACTTCTGGGGGTCAAAATGTTCCAGGTCATTTGCAAGAAGAAAGTCACCTTCCTCACGATTCCAGACCGAAATCACAGACAGACAGCTGGCAGCCTCCACCAATGACGGGAATATCTGGGGTGCACCAGACTAACAAGGATCAATGGTACCAGGGAGCACCATTACCACAACAGTCTGGGCAGCCACACACATTTCGCAGCACCGGGCAACCACCTTACAGCACCGGGCAACCACCTCACAGCACCGGGCAACCACCTTTCAGCACTGGACAGCCACACATATCTCACAGCAGTGGGCAATTCACAAAACCTGGCATAAATCACCCTAATATGATACCTGATGTGCCCAGGTCACAGCCTCCAATGGTGATTCCTACCATGCACCATCAGGCCGACAAGCCTGGAACACAACCAGCAGAACCCAGGCATGAGTCACCAGTTCAGCATTATGACATTCCTGTACAACATTTTACACCAAGATTTCCACATCAACAATTTATTGTACCAAGACAACCCTTTAGTCCCAATTATCCTATCCAGAGTCAGACGGGTCCACACCCACAACATCTTCATCCCACGCAGCAAGGTCAGTCCAAACAGCACGGTCTGCCCACACAGCAAAGTCCACCCACACAACAAGGTCATCGGAAACAATATGGTCCGCAAATACGAAATAGTCCGCAAATGCAATATATTCCATCCACATCACACAGTCCAATCATGCAACATGGTCCTCCCACATCACATGGTCCTCCCACATCACAGGGTTCTCCAACATCACAGGGTTCTCCAACATCACAGGGTCCAACCCCACAACAAGGTCCTCCAACATCACAGGGTCCTCTTACACAACACAGTCCTCCTGCATCACAGGGTCCCCCGACACAACATGGTCCTCCCATATCACAGGGTTCACCCCTACAACATGGTCATCCAACATCACAGGGTCTACCCACACAAGATGGTGGTCAGACACAATATGGTCCACCCACACAGCCTGGATACTACCAATTTCCTGAGGCATCTGCTCCCTCCGGGTCTCAGTACGACCAACCGAATATTTATCCAAATAATCAATACAGAAGAGATTATTCTCCAAACCGACAAGGCAACAGCCCTGGTCCTCATCAATACAATCAGCACGGTCACCAGGGTTACCAAGGTCAAACATACCATGGCCAGGGTTACCAGGGTCAAGGTAACCAAGGTCAAGTTTACCAAGGTCAGGGTTATAAAAATCAAGGTTACCAAGGTCAATATTATGAAGGTCAACAAGGTCCAATGTGGTCAAATCAAGGGACATGGTTGCAGAACATCCCACAAGCTTGGGGACCACATAATCAGCAATATGATCACGGTCAAAGCACTGACCAGTACAAAGCAGATCATCAGAACTTTCCACCAGGGGGAGCTGGTGGACCATTTCCCCAGCAAGATGACAACTCCAGGGGACCAGTCAAATTCAAAGAAGGTTCTCCAAACCAAGGGACCAAGGATATGACATCAGTCTCAAAGAAACAGCAGCAGGGGAGACAACCCTCTACTGAAGAAGCAGAGGACAATGGTTTGTAGTTGTTTCATGTTCCTAGATGTGTCTTTTAGTTCACATGAGCAACAATCATTTTATACCTTACCTCTCTTTGGGGCTAAGGGAAAGGGTCAAAAAGGGGTACCAAGTAATTATAGCCATTTTCCCTTTTTTTAAGACATAAATATAGCAGGACTAAGGTACTTCAGTTGTAGGAATGTCGAGGGTTATAAATAAAGCCTTATTTTACCAAGTACAAAGCCATAATGACCACTCCAAGGGGTAACATTTGATGATAGGTTATATAGGGGTTCTGCTAAAGTACAGAATAGATTCCAAATTTGTTACAACGAACCATTATCAGAAAGGAGTTTCCTTTCTATCTGTATATGGGTTGGCTTTCCGAGTCGATTTCTGGATGGGTCACTATTCACTTACATTGTACAAAGCATAAGTCTATATATAGCTGAAGACAAGGAATAAAAAGGCTTCCAATCAATTAGTTCCTTCGACCCCAAATGTGACCCTACCAAGGCCAATTTTACATAGGTTATGTAGCGACTTCTTAAAGTTCTGCTAAGCTAATTTCATTCAAGGAAGCATAATAAGTAATTAAGGCCCTATGGCCTCTTGTTACATTGGGGTTAGACATAAAATGTAGAGCAATTTTAAGTCACTTTAATAGACCCTGAATATACCAAGCACTCAAGTAAAGACACGTTGTTGTACTGTTGGCTTTGTTCATTCTCCATTTTAGTGATTGGTAGAATGTTCAATTACAGATAAACAATGTTCATTCTCCATGTTAGTGATTGGTAGAATGTTCACTTACAGATAAACAATGTTCAGTCTCCATGTTAGTGATTGGTAGAGTGTTCACTTACAGATAAACAATGTTCAGCTTCCATGTTAGTGATTGGTAGAGTGTTCACTTACAGGGAAACAACAAGCAATCATGGTGACCTTCAAGGCTAATACAAGTGAGGATACGCTGGAAAATTATTTTGAGAATGAGAAACGATCTGGAGGTGGGACTATTGACCTAATGGACTACAGCGAGGACAGAGGAGAGGCCATCATCACATTTCAGGACAGTACAGGTAAGGTCAAGGTCAGAGAAAGGTCATAAGTCAAGGTCAAGTCACACTCAAGTCAAGGAGAAGGCAAAACAGAAAATCATCATGATGATATATACAGTAAAAAAAAAACAAAGTCTGGGGACCATTAGATTAGTTTTTCAGATTAATACTATGCTCAGTTAGATGTACAGCTGAATGGGTACAGAGTTAGACTAATAATCGGTAGTCCTGGGTTTGAATACCAGCAGCTGCACCTGAAAAAATATAATTGTTGAACATTTAAAATGCAATAACAAAAAAACTAAGAAAATATTCATTGATTTGAAAAAGGTTCTTTGTTGATGAAAGTGACACCAAGACGGAAGTCTATAAACATAGAAAACTGTAAATGTTTTAAATTACACTTCGAAACTAAACATCCATGGAGGCGTAGAGCCAACGCCGTACTTCTAGTTCTGTAGGTTTTGTTATCCCTGGAAACTAAACATATTCATTATATCTCACTTTTGATGTTGAAGAAACAAATAATTTTGGTTGATAGCTCAAAATAGTGATTTGTGTCTTAATAAGGACTGGGATTTTTCCATAAACATACCCAAGGGTCATTTTACACCTGAAAAAAAAATCACCCCCAAATAACATTTCGATTTCAACAAATTTTATTGAACAAAAACAATTGAACAATTAGAAGAGACAACAGGCTTAGCCTTTATAAGTCCTAACCCGTATAGATGGACAGAAAGTATAGATTTAATAGATAGTCTAACAAGACACACTCATATACACTTACAAACAGATAACAAACACACATTCATATACACTTACAAACAGATAACAAATACACGCTCATATACACTTACAAACAGATAACAAAGACACACTCATATACACTAACAAACAGATAACAAGACACACTCATATACAATTACAAACAGATAACAAAGACACACTCATATACACTTACAAACAGATAACAAGACACACTCATATACAATTACAAACAGATAACAAAGACACACTCATATACAATTACAAACAGATAACAAAGACACACTCATATACAATTACAAACAGATAACAAAGACACACTCATATACAATTACAAACAGATAACAAAGACACACTCATATACAATTACAAACAGATAACAAAGACACACTCATATACAATTACAAACAGATAACAAAGACACACTCATATACAATTACAAACAGATAACAAAGACACACTCATATACAATTACAAACAGATAACAAAGACACACTCATATACAATTACAAACAGATAACAAAGACACACTCATATACAATTACAAACAGATAACAAAGACACACTCATATACAATTACAAACAGATAACAAAGACACACTCATATACAATTACAAACAGATAACAAAGACACACTCATATACAATTACAAACAGATAACAAAGACACACTCATATACACTTACAAACAGATAACAAAGACACACTCATATACACTTACAAACAGATAACAAGACACACTCATATACAATTACAAACAGATAACAAAGACACACTCATATACAATTACAAACAGATAACAAAGACACACTCATATACAATTACAAACAGATAACAAAGACACACTCATATACAATTACAAACAGATAACAAAGACACACTCATATACAATTACAAACAGATAACAAAGACACACTCATATACAATTACAAACAGATAACAAAGACACACTCATATACAATTACAAACAGATAACAAAGACACACTCATATACAATTACAAACAGATAACAAAGACACACTCATATACAATTACAAACAGATAACAAAGACACACTCATATACAATTACAAACAGATAACAAAGACACACTCATATACAATTACAAACAGATAACAAAGACACACTCATATACAATTACAAACAGATAACAAAGACACACTCATATACAATTACAAACAGATAACAAAGACACACTCATATACAATTACAAACAGATAACAAAGACACACTCATATACAATTACAAACAGATAACAAAGACACACTCATATACACTTACAAACAGATAACAAAGACACACTCATATACACTTACAAACAGATAACAAGACACACTCATATACAATTACAAACAGATAACAAAGACACACTCATATACAATTACAAACAGATAACAAAGACACACTCATATACAATTACAAACAGATAACAAAGACACACTCATATACAATTACAAACAGATAACAAAGACACACTCATATACAATTACAAACAGATAACAAAGACACACTCATATACAATTACAAACAGATAACAAAGACACACTCATATACAATTACAAACAGATAACAAAGACACACTCATATACAATTACAAACAGATAACAAAGACACACTCATATACAATTACAAACAGATAACAAAGACACACTCATATACAATTACAAACAGATAACAAAGACACACTCATATACAATTACAAACAGATAACAAAGACACACTCATATACAATTACAAACAGATAACAAAGACACACTCATATACAATTACAAACAGATAACAAAGACACACTCATATACAATTACAAACAGATAACAAAGACACACTCATATACACTTACAAACAGATAACAAAGACACACTCATATACACTTACAAACAGATAACAAGACACACTCATATACAATTACAAACAGATAACAAAGACACACTCATATACAATTACAAACAGATAACAAAGACACACTCATATACAATTACAAACAGATAACAAAGACACACTCATATACAATTACAAACAGATAACAAAGACACACTCATATACAATTACAAACAGATAACAAAGACACACTCATATACAATTACAAACAGATAACAAAGACACACTCATATACAATTACAAACAGATAACAAAGACACACTCATATACAATTACAAACAGATAACAAAGACACACTCATATACAATTACAAACAGATAACAAAGACACACTCATATACAATTACAAACAGATAACAAAGACACACTCATATACAATTACAAACAGATAACAAAGACACACTCATATACAATTACAAACAGATAACAAAGACACACTCATATACACTTACAAACAGATAACAAAGACACACTCATATACACTTACAAACAGATAAAAGGACACACTCATATACAATTACAAACAGATAACAAAGACACACTCATATACAATTACAAACAGATAACAAAGACACACTCATATACAATTACAAACAGATAACAAAGACACACTCATATACAATTACAAACAGATAACAAAGACACACTCATATACAATTACAAACAGATAACAAAGACACACTCATATACAATTACAAACAGATAACAAAGACACACTCATATACAATTACAAACAGATAACAAAGACACACTCATATACAATTACAAACAGATAACAAAGACACACTCATATACAATTACAAACAGATAACAAAGACACACTCATATACAATTACAAACAGATAACAAAGACACACTCATATACAATTACAAACAGATAACAAAGACACACTCATATACACTTACAAACAGATAACAAAGACACACTCATATACACTTACAAACAGATAACAAAGACACACTCATATACACTTACAAACAGATAACAAAGACACACTCATATACACTTACAAACAGATAACAAAGACACACTCATATACACTTACAAACAGATTACAAGACACACTAACATACACTTACAAACAAACAGATAACAAAGACACACTCATATACACTTACAAACAGATAACAAGACACACTCATATACAATTACAAACAGATAACAAAGACACACTCATATACACTTACAAACAGATAGATAACAAGACACACTCATATAAATTACAAACAGATAACAAAGACACACTCATATACACTTACAAACAAACAGATAACAAAGACACACTCATATACACTTACTAACAAACAGATAACATCTCTTCATGTGCAAATGCATTTATGACATATTTAGAAGAACTGGACTTGGTCGATCGTTGTCGACTAGGTAACTCATGTGGTAGAGGTCCGTTTAGAGTTCGGCGGGTCCGGGGCTCGAACCCCGGTCTGGCTGTGCATTTTTCTCTCTCCTGTTACACATGCTATAGTCCAATTCTCACACTAAATAAACTTTTGTTTATATTCATAATAGGCGGGGTTCCAATCACATCTGAGCTGTGTTGTGATTTGAACCCCGCCTATTATATTTACATATTCAATACCTATCGCCCTGCATACCTTCTGGTATCCACTCTCGGAGTGAAGCGCCCCACTGATCAATCTATACAACCACAAGACGTTGGATCTACTTTTTGTTGTTAATCTTTGTTTATATTCATAACTACTTCATCATGTAACAACTCAACCTTAGGTTTAACTGTAACACTGTTTACTAATCCTAAAGGACAATGATATGAAAACTTACGATCAATGTTTCCAGTCAGCTGTTTTTATTGTGTTAAAAAGTACTTTGTTGAAAGAATTTCAATAACTGTTACATAATCCTTATAGACGTATTTCTGTATCCATAGCTTTATCTGATGTTTTTCTAGTATAAATATATTGAAACTTGAATCAAGTATAGTTTAAATCCGATCACGATATATCATTTTTATGTGCTGTATATAACTTTAAAACCATGATTTGATGGAACTCTTCTATTTTTAGTGATAAGCCGAGTGTTGGAGAAATCGGGACATGTCATAAGTAGAAACAAGTTGGATGTGAAGGCCGTTTTCCTTGAGACCAATACTTACCTGATAGAGAATATTGATCCCAACTCTGACGAGGATGGATTAATTTACTTTCTTGCCAGTCGTAAATGTGGTTCAAATGAGGTGGATGCTTTAGTGCACCATTCTGGATGTGCTGTCGTTAAATTTGGTGACAAAATTGGTAAGATTTATAATATTAACCCTACAGACCAGGACTAGTCTTATCAGTTCTATAGGAACAAGTGTTAAGTAGCCTCTCCACCTTCGCCCTGAACTTGCAATATAAATAGAGTTATTTGAAGTATTGTTTTCATTAATATTAAAAAAACTAATATTATATAATACCTTGGGCTATATAGCAATTTGTAGACTTGTCAGTCAGTCTCAAAAAATAAAGTGGATAAAAGCATTATGGCCGTCAGCACTGATCATTCGCCTAAGAAATAAGTGACTTTGAAAGATTAGATACCAGTTAAGTATGTAAGTATTTTAAGTGTTAAAATATTTGTCATTTTCTTTACACAGAATTATTTCATCAAGAATGTCTTACTTCATTTGCTTGTTTAACTCTGATCTTATTTTCATTTCCTTTAAGATTTAGACAAACTACGGAAAGCATGTGAGAACAAAGCATTTGACAAGCATCATTTACGAGTATCGAGGGTTGCTGAATCTAGTTGTGTCAAAGTAACGAAACTGTCGGAATCACACAGTGAGGACACTGTGGATGGGTTGTTCTCAAACGAGCGTCGGAGTGGAGGCGGGGACATTGAAGATATTGAGATGATTGACAGATTCAACATGTGTATCATCACATACTCGGACCCGGAGGGTAAGTGCAACATTGTTTAAATCTAAACGTGTATCAACCATGTATACATTTTATAAACAAGACCTTCAACTGTACATTTAAGGAATGACCAAGATTTTGTTTTGGTATATACGGTATTTACCGAAAAAAAATTGTGCACTTTGCATAAATCCGTATATATACCGTATATACCAAAACAAAATCTTGGGCATTCTTTATAATTTAATTTAAAAATAGTAGACAAACACGTTGTAAATGCACAGTTAAAGATTTATTTAATTTTTATGTAAACTAAACAATTGCGCTAAAAAAAAGCTGCTTTGTAATTTTGCATTCTGAAGTGTAAAAAGTAGTTCCGTCATCAGTTGTTTTTCTTTTTAGGTATACATGATATATACCAAAAAAAATATGGGGGAAATAGGCAAAATTAAATTATTGTATAGTAAATGTTGTCTATAGACTACCAAGGATCCCGTAGTTCAATCTGTAGAGTGATTGACTTGAGTTCAGAGGGTCCGGGTTCAAGTCCCGGTCTGGCTGTGCATTTCTCCTTCTCCTGTAACATGTACATTTTACACCATTTCTTAAGTGTTGGGACTGACAAGTTTCCGCAGTACTTTTACATTATACCTATTTTCCTATTATAGTGGCCAAGCGTGTCTGTAAGAAGGATCACCTTAAGATAGGACAGAGTGTTGTACAAGTGTCCCTGTACTACCCGGCCCTGCGAGACCCAGCCTGGTCTGCCCCTCCCCCAAGGAAGCTCCCCGGCCCCATTCAGCTGCGCAACATTGAACAGTGCATCCTCAGTTTTGCCTACTCATCATCTTTGTATAAAGCCCAGCTGGAGAGTGACCTTTGTGAGGTTAAAGGTCAAATGATCTGGCGTGGTGCTGACAAGGAGGTGAAAGCTGAGGTTGAATGTACATTGGATGTTGAATGCAGGGAGTATGATAATCTGGTGGAAACATGGCAGGAAGATGTAGATCGGGTTATAAACAAGTTTTGTGACACTATGGACAGTAAAACTCTGGCTACTGATAAAGACACAAAACTCTGGGATATCTTCATGGCTAAGCTAAGAGATCTGGTTGTAGACAATCCTGACCATGTAGCCACGGTGATATCCAAAGAAGAGTTCAAGGTCATTCTAGTCGGGAGGCAGGATGCTGTGGCAGACTTAAATACAAAGGTCAAGGTTATAATAGACAGAGCGAGGGAGGAAAAAGAGGCAAAGACAGTTGTCATTGAACAGAATGCATTCAAGGTTTGTTTGTTAGTCAAGTTAGGTGTGCAGGATGATATAGAGTACACTTGTTCTGGGTTATCTGTAACCATGGATACAGAGAATGGGCAGATAACTCTTAAAGGCAGTCAGGAGCAGATATTAACTGCAAAGTGTACGTTAATGGAGAAGATGGGGGCAATTGAAGCACGAACATTCTCCCTTCAGACGGGAAAGTCAGAAATGATGTCAAAACAGGCGATCCTTGAAGAAATGTACAGAGAGATGCTGAATGTCGGGGAAACAGTTGTTATAGAAAGCATGAAGGGGAGCTGTAAAATCTTGGGAACAGAAGCTACAGACTTCTCCAAGGTCAAAGATGTGATGGACGAATATCTAATGGAAGGGGAGGTTAGAGTGGAGGAGGTGTTTGAACAGTGGTGTGACTCAACTAGCCTTCTGGATTGTCGTGAAAAGTTGGATGACAAATTTTCCTGGAAATTCCACTTGGAATTACAGAAAAAAAATCAGAAGGTCATTGTCACAGCAACCAGCGATGTCTTCAAAGAGGTCGTAACTATGGTAACCAGTGCTACACACAAGTTTGAAGAAAGTCATGGTATACATGTCAAATTTGTTGATGTTGTTGATGGGAAAATGGAGTTTATCAAAACCTACCTGACAGAACAGTTAATGGACCTGCAAGATTTAAACTTGAATATCAAACCAAGTCGACCTGGGAACAAAACTGGATATGAAATAAGAGGGAATAAAAAAGCAGTTGAAAAAGCTGTGGATGAATTAAAAGACATGATCAAAACGGAAATATTTGAAGTGAAGCATAACGTTGTCAAACCTGGTGTCAAACGTTTCTTTGGATCACAAGATGGAAAGAAAGAAATCAAAAGCTTGGCAAACGTACAGAATTGTATTATTCATGTGGAAGATGAGACAACCGGCGGAGGTCACAAGGGTCAGATGTCAGAAAAGTCTCAATTGACCCTAGTTAAGAAGGCCAAATGTATGGTGAAAGGTCTGAAGTTCCAGGTGTTCCAAGGAGATATCACCAATGTCAAGGTAGCAGCCATGGTGAACTGTGCCAGTCCGGAGATGAAACACAAGGGAGGCCTGGCCAAGGCTGTCGTAGAGGCAGGGATGTAACACAAGGGAGGCCTGGCCAAGGCTGTCATAGAGGCAGGTGTGTAACACAAGGGAGGCCTGGCCAAGGCTGTCGTAGAGACAGGTATGTAACACAAGGGAGGCCTGGCCAAGGCTGTCGTAGAGGCAGGGATGCAACACAAGGGAGGCCTGGCCAAGGCTGGCGTAGAGGCAGGTATGTAACACAAGGGAGGCCTGACCAAGGCTGTCGTAGAGGCAGGTGTGTAACACAAGGGAGGCCTGACCACGGCTGTCGTAGAGGCAGGTATGTAACACAACGGAGGGCTGGCCAAGGCTGTCGTAGAGGTAGGTGTGTAACACAAGGGAGGCCTGACCAAGGCTGTCATAGAGGCAGGTATGTAACACAAGGGAGGCCTGCCCAAGGCTGTCGTAGAGGCAGGTATGTAACACCAGGGAGGCCTGACCAAGGCTGTCATAGAGGCAGGGATGTAACACAAGGGGGGCCTGGGCAAGGCTGTCGTAGAGTCAGGGATGTAACACAAGGGAGGCCTGGCCAAGGCTGGCGTAGAGGCAGGTATGTAACACAAGGGAGGCCCGGGCAAGGCTGTCGTAGAGTCAGGTATGTAACACGACGGAGGCCTGACCAAGGCTGTTGTAGAGGCAGGGATGTAACACAAGGGAGGCCCGGGCAAGGCTGTCGTAGAGTCAGGTATGTAACACAAGTGAGGCCTGGCCAAGGCTGTCGTAGAGGCAGGCATGTAACACGACGGAGGCCTGACCAAGGCTGTTGTAGAGGCAGGGATGTAACACAAGGGGGGCCTGGGCAAGGCTGTCGTAGAGTCAGGGATGTAACACAAGGGAGGCCTGGCCAAGGCTGGCGTAGAGGCAGGTATGTAACACAAGGGAGGCCTTGGCAAGGCTGTCGTAGAGTCAGGTATGTAACACGACGGAGGCCTGACCAAGGCTGTCGTAGAGGCAGGTGTTTAACACAAGGGAGGCCTGGCCAAGGCTGTCATAGAGGCAGGTATGTAACACAAGGGAGGCCTTGGCAAGGCTGTCGTAGAGTCAGGTATGTAACACAAGTGAGGCCTGGCCAAGGCTGTCGTAGAGGCAGGTGTGCAACACAAGGGAGGCCTGGCCAAGGCTGTCGTAGAAGCAGGTATGTAACACGATGGAGGCCTGACCAAGGCTGTCGTAGAGGCAGGTATGTAACACGACGGAGGCCTGACCAAGGCTGTTGTAGAGGCAGGTATGTAACACAAGGGAGGCCTGGGCAAGGCTGTCGTAGAGTCAGGTATGTAACACAAGGGAGGCCTGGCCAAGGCTGTCGTAGAGGCAGGCATGTAACACGACGGAGGCCTGACCAAGGCTGTCGTAGAGGTAGGTGTGTAACACAAGGGAGGCCTGGCCAAGGCTGTCATAGAGGCAGGTATGTAACACAAGGGAGGCCTGACCAAGGCTGTCGTAGAGGCAGGTGTGTATACCTGTATAAGAGATGTTGGTTGAAATTGAAATGAAAAATGAAACAAACAACAAATTAAAGATTTGCTGAACAATGAAAAATGTTTTCTGACAAAAAATATAAAGTATTTCATTCAGTTTTATTTTAGAATTGTTTTTAGCAAAACAAAACAAAATTCAGAAAAAGGGCATATAAATGAAGTGAAAATGTGATTAAATCCTGAGTGATTTAAAACATATTTGCCATTTTCTTTCCAAGATAAAAAAAATCACAAATTTCAGCCACCATTATTCTAGTTGTATGAAAGAATAAAACCTTGTAGATACTTTGTAACCTTTAACAGACAAATGACCAGTGAAGTGTATGTATACACAAAATTGTTAAACATGTATTTGTACAAATATTATATAAAGCATAGCCGAATTAATTTGTCAATTTGATTCATCATTTTGATGATGTTGTACATATCTAACAACAAAGTGTACATATTCTTTTCATGTAGCGGAGTGTATCAATTTTATATAACCAACTCTTACATATTCTACACTTTTTGTATTAGTCATTTTCCAGATGAAGGTTATAGAGTAAAGTCATTGATAATAATAATAATAATTTGAGGTTCTTATCTACCGCTTTATCACAACCTAGTTTATAGGTCGTCTCAAAGCGGTTCACAAATTATTATCAGTGGGTATAGGACCTTGCAACTAGCCAATATCTTTCTCAACTCCCTGGGGAGCATTCAGTCGGTGCTGCCATTTTGGCACTCACAGCTAGCATTCTACAATTCTAGCACTGCCCAACCATGTACTCATTCACAGATGAGTAGACTGGAACAAGCGAAGTAAAGTATCTTGCTCAAAGATACAACACAGTGCCGTGCCGTGACTCGAACCCGCAACCTTACGTTCACTAGACTACTGTGCCGTGCCACTAGACTGCCGTGCCGTGCCGTGCCATTAGACTGCCGTGCCGTGCCATTAGACTACCGTGCCGTGCCATTAGACTACCGTACTGTGCCATTAGACTACCTTACCGTGTCATTAGACTACCGTGCCGTGCCATTAGACTACCTTACCGTGCCATTAGACTACCTTACTGTGCCATTAGACTACCTTACCGTGTCATTAGACTACCGTGCCGTGCCATTAGACTACCTTACCGTGCCATTAGACTACCGTGCCGTGCCATTAGACTACCTTACCGTGCCACTAGACTACCTTACCGTGCCATTAGACTACCGTGCCGTGCCATTAGACTACCGTGCTGTGCCATTAGACTACCTTACCGTGCCATTAGACTACCGTACCGTGCCATTAGACTACCGTACTGTGCCATTAGACTACCATGCCGTGCCCTAAAACTACCGTGCCGTGCCACTAGACTACCGAGCCGTGCCATTAGACTACCGTACTGTGCCTTTAGCCTACCATGCCGTGCCCTTAGACTACCGTGCCGTGCCACTAGACTTCCGTGCCGTGCCATTAGACTACCGTACTGGGCCATTAGACTACCGTGCCGTGCCATTAGCCTACCGTGCCGTGCCACTAGACTACCGTGCCGTGCCATTAGACTACCGTACTGTGCCATTAGACTACCATGCCGTGCCCTTAGACTACCGTGCCGTGCCACTAGACTACCGTGCCGTGCCATCAGACTACCGTGCTGTAATTGATACATTACACATAGACACTTTGCTGGTCATGCTAAATTAACTGTGATAAAATATTCACCTCCATGTTTGGTTCTTTCTGTTTCAGGAGGCCAGTCTATACAGACACAGTGTGACAGACACATCAGTAACCATGGCAAAGTTCAAAAGGGTCATGTGATCACAACAACTGGCGGTGACCTTGACTGCAAGGTCATCATACATGCTGCAATCCCTGTCTGGCAGGGAGGTAGTAAGGGTGACCTGGACATTGTAGAGATGGCTGTGAAGGAGAGTTTACAGGAAGCAGCACAAGGCTCTCATCAGTCGATAGCTTTCCCTGCCTTGGGTTGTGGAAGGTTGTTTAAATATCCAACACACAAAGCCACTGCTACAGTCGTGGCCACCTTGAAGGAACTGTTGCTAGGTGATGACAAGGACTCTCCAGTGAAGGAAGTGTATTTATGTGATGTAAATGATGATGCTATTCAGGGTTTCACAAAAGCTTTAGCTAGTGAGTTTGGCTCCACAAATGTCAAAGTGTTTGAAGATGAGGATCATCATAAGAAAGGCAAGACAGGTAATGAACCTTAATCGGTTATTATTAAGTATCAAGGCACAAATGTGGATAGACATTTTCAGTTTTTGCATTGTCAAATTTTCTGCCACATGATAAAAATCCACAAGATCTACTTGAGGAATGATTTTGACAGCGATCAAAAGGCTAGGTCAAAACGAGTCATTGGAACATAACTAAATTATACTTACATTTGTTTAAAAGACCTAAGTTAGATGTATAAAGGTCATAAAGGCTGAAGGTCAAAAATTACTAAACTAACTACAGTTGGTTAAAAGATATCATTCAGAAGTATAAAGGCTGAGAAAGCTGAAGGTCACATATTCCTTTTGCTCATTTTGTAGCATCCAAAGGCGATCAAGGTCACATCTATCATGAAGTTGAAGAAGAAGATTTTCCAGACAGCTCCAAGGGAGCCACAGCTGCACCACCCAAGAGAAAGGGATGGGGCCAAGCGAAACGTGGTCTGCAGTCACCCTCTCAAGGTCAAACAGCAAAATCTGGAGGTCAAGGTCATCCCATCAGACTGGAAGTAGGAGACTTGACAAAAATGAAAGTAAGACTGAATTAGCTTGTTTTTTGATGGTGTGAATTTCATGAAACAATTCAAAGTAACAGTTTGCATTGAAATATTATTGGCTTATGAATAAGAATGCAGAACGACAACTTTGTGAAAAAAACCACTGATACTCATAGACAAAACTTTAGCATGAGTAACCCATATATAAATATATATATTATAGAATATTCCTTCACAGACAAAGCTCAGTCAATATGAAATATGCTTGTCTCCATAAGGCTAAGCGCACAACAAATATGGTTTAACTTGTTTGATAAATGTCTTAAGACCTTCCTGTGTATTGTAATAAGGATAAGGAATAGGGATAGTCAGAAGCCTAGATAGTTTCAATGATAAGTTTATCTCCTGAATCACTAAGTGATTATGATGCTGGTGTTGTAGGTACATGTAGATGTGATTGTTAGTTCTGTGACCCCGAACCTTGACCTTGATGGGACTGTCATGTCCAAGGGTCTTTCCCAGGCTGCTGGTCCGTCAGTACAACAGGAGTGTAACGACAAATACCCGCGTGGGATCACAGCAGGAGACGTGGCAGTCACCACAGGAGGTCAACTCAACTGTAACCACATCTACCATGTCACCATACCTAAGTGGGATGGGGGAGGAGGAAACGCAATCAAGGTCGGTCAAGGTCGTATGTGTTACCTCACCTGGTCCAAGGGACCAAGGTGAGCTTAAGTTGAACTACAGCTTTTGTCACAATAATTCCTTCAAATTATTTCTTCTTTTGAGCTGCTGAATATAATTTCATCAAATGTCACTTGAAATAATCTGAAGTGGTAGAGATTAAAATAATAAACAAATGAAGGAATTGACACATGGGCTGTGGGGTGGGGCCAAAAAGGGGTAATTTGACCACAATGTTACAAGCAAATTTTTCTTCTTGAACTATGTGATTGATACCAACCATCATGGTGATGATGGTTCAAAAGTGAACAAACACTGGGCTGACCCTCGAGGGGGCAGAGGGATGGGGCCGCATTTTGTGATTGATATTAACCATATCTGATCAGAAAAATCCTCAGATGATGGAGATTCAAAATTGTGCAAATTGATGGGATGATCCCTCAGGGAAGGAGGAAACGTATCTCTGACCTCTAGACATCATGTTGTACCAAGTGATCCCTCAGGGAAGGAGGAAACGTATTTCTGACCTCAAGACATCATGTTGTACCCAGTGATCCCTCAGGGACGGAGGAAACGTATTTCTGACCTCTAGACATCATGTTGTACCGAGTGATCCCTCAAGGAAGAGGAAACGGATCTCTGACCTCTAGACATAATGTTGTACCCAGTGATTCCTCAGGGAAGGAGGAAACGTATCTCTGACCTCTAGACATCATGTTGTACCCAGTGATCCCTCAGGTAAGGAGGAAACGTATCTCTGACCTCTAGACATAATGTTGTACCCAGTGATCTCTCAGGGAAGGAGGAAACGTATTTCTGACCTCTAGACATAATGTTGTACCCAGTGATTCCTCAGGGAAGGAGGAAACGTATCTCTGACCTCTAGACATCATGTTGTACCCAGTGATCCCTCAGGGAAGGAGGAAACGTATTTCTGACCTCTAGACATCATGTTGTACCGAGTGATCCCTCAAGGAAGAGGAAACGTATCTCTGACCTCTAGACATAATGTTGTACCCAGTGATCCCTCAGGGAAGGAGGAAACGTATCTCTGACCTCTAGACATCATGTTGTACCCAGTGATCCCTCAGGGAAGGAGGAAACGTATCTCTAACCTCTAGACATCATGTTGTACCCAGTGATCCCTCAGGGAAGGAGGAAACGTATTTCTGACCTCTAGACATCATGTTGTACCCAGTGATCCCTCAGGGAAGGAGGAAACGTATCTCTGACCTCTAGACATCATGTTGTACCCAGTGATCCCTCAGGGAAGGAGGAAACGTATCTCTGACCTCTAGACATCATGTTGTACCCAGTGATCCCTCAGGGAAGGAGGAAACGTATCTCTGACCTCTAGACATCATGTTGTACCCAGTGATCCCTCAGGGAAGGAGGAAACGTATCTCTGACCTCTAGACATCATGTTGTACCCAGTGATCCCTCAGGGAAGGAGGAAACGTATCTCTGACCTCTAGACATCATGTTGTACCCAGTGATCCCTCAGGGAAGGAGGAAACGTATCTCTGACCTCTAGACATCATGTTGTACCCAGTGATCCCTCAGGGAAGGAGGAAACGTATCTCTGACCTCTAGACATCATGTTGTACCCAGTGATCCCTCAGGGAAGGAGGAAACGTATCTCTGACCTCTAGACATCATGTTGTACCCAGTGATCCCTCAGGGAAGGAGGAAACGTATCTCTGACCTCTAGACATCATGTTGTACCCAGTGATCCCTCAGGGAAGGAGGAAACGTATCTCTGACCTCTAGACATCATGTTGTACCCAGTGATCCCTCAAGGAAGAAGGAAACGTATCTCTGATCTCTAGACATCATGTTGTACCCAGTGATCTCTGACCTCTAGACATAATGTTGTACCCAGTGATCTCTGACCTCTAGACATCATGTTGTAACCAGTGATCTCTGACCTTTAGACATCATGTTGTACCCAGTGATCTCTGACCTTTAGACATCATGTTGTACCCAGTGATCTCTGACCTCTAGACATCATGTTGTACCCAGTGATCTCTGACCTCTAGACACCATGTCGGACCCAGTTGATCTTTCTGGTCACCCTGTCCAGCTACATGACATCTTTGTCAACAAAGTTTATTGAAATAAATGAAGTGGAATTCCAATAGATACACGTCCAGTCATAATCCCACATTTTTTCTATAAATTTCCAGAATCTTGGTGACACGGTAACAAAGTGTTTAGCCCTGGCAAACCGTCACAAATGTGTTTCCATAGCGATACCTGCCATGGGGACGGGAAGACTGCACTACCCTGCTGACCAGGTGGCAGGCACAATGTATGCATGTGTGGATAAATTCCTACAGAATACCCAGAATCCCTCACTACAGGAAATACATCTCGTAGTGTTCCACAAAGACTCGGCTACAGTCAAGGTACAGTAACATACTAAAAGTACAATCAACGAATGTCTTTGTCTTGTTTGTAATACCTACAGACAGGATAAACCCTATCTGCACAGTAAGCATTGATGTAACAAATCACAGAGTCATTGGTGTCAACTCAGGAGAGCCAATAGGAAGATATTTCCCAATTGATCCTTTTTGTGGCATTTCAAGTGGTTTTTTTTAAAAGCTAAATATAAATATGTTATAAATAATATAAAGCCATTTATATATAATTCAAAGGGAATTATTAAAAACTCTAATTTTTAATTTTAATTACCGGTATGTACATTGATGAACTTTGAGTAAACCTGCAACAAATGTCACATAAGTACAAGTTTATATGTACAAATGATTTCCATGATGTTTAATGTTTTTCATTAGCAAGTAACAATTTGTGTAAAAGTGCTTTCAATTTTAATATTGCATGTCCAGAATAAGTTACGTTTTTAAATGTGCAATAATTTCTGAAAGAGTTGTCCCTCTTTCTCTACTTATGGTTATAGGTTCTTGTGGATGTGTTATATAGTGTAGTTTTGACAACTGGGTGGTGCTCACTTAAACCTTGCTAGGAGATCCTCCAAGTTGCTTAGATGCTGTTTTAGTTGTCATGTTGCTGATGTTGTATCTTTTCAAACTGTTTATATTTTCAGCTTTTTTGGGTGATTTATTTCGTGTGACTATCATACATGTATATGGTTTCTATGTTACAGGCGTTCAAGCACGTCTCAAGCAATTACAAGACTTCAGGTTCAGCTGCCTTATCGCCAAGTAAGCAACAATTGTTCTTTCATTAACATTTAAGTTTTGTATATTACATTTTTCTTCTATTTGTTGTTTAAGAGACTACACCATAATGAGCTGTAAAACAAGGTTTTCTGAACAATGGGGCACTCTATTTCTGTACCCTTGCAGATGAATTCCATCAATATTTTTTGACATCTGTAATATATATATGTATAAGTTATGAAATCTGCCTGCAATAGTGATCAGACCAACAGAAAGTAAAAAACGTACCTGTAGCGGCTAGACCAAGTGTAGCGGCGGCTAGACCAAGTGTAGCGGCGGCTAGACCAAGTGTAGCGGCTAGACCAAGTGTAGACTACCACGAGTGCCGTTATATATATACGCACTGCTGCACATCACCTTAGGGGTGAATTGATGTACCTGAATTGATGTACCTGAATTGATGTACCTGAATTGATGTACCTAAATTGATGTACCTAAATTGATGTACCTGAATTGATGTACCTGAACTGATGTACCTGAATTGATGTACCTGAATTGCAGAGCACACTAAGTAAGCTTGACCTCTATAAGTACATTCACAACAAGATGGGTAAAAATTGGGTGTGATGGAGGGAGCTGAGGATTGAACCTATATAATGGATGTTACAATTACTGTAGGTAACACAGGGTCTGGTTCTGAGGTGGAGGACATGTTCGACAAGGTCAAGGTCATAGTCACCAGTGGTGACATCACCAAGGAGACGTCTGATGTCATCATCAATGGTGTAGATGAGAGTTTGAATCTTAGTAAAGGTAAGGAGGAGCACAAAACTTGACCTGTATTTCTCTGCTGTTTTGTATTGGTATTCTGAGGATCATTTGAGATTTTTGTTTTGGTTTCATCTATTTACTCAGTGTACAAATATACAGAAGAAAGGCTTACTTTTCACCGTGAAAAAGTTTGATTGTGTCCTGTATACCTGATGTTGAAATGGTGTTGTGTTTGTTCACTTCAGGACAGTTATCAAAAGCTGTGCTGGCTGCTGCTGGAGATGGTATACAAGATGAATGTAACAACAATGGTAAGTTACTCAGCGCATGCCATTGTATGACCTTCACATATTCTCCTCATTGCATGACCTTGATCTCTTCACATCATTGTGTATCCTTGACTTCTTTACATCATTGTGTAACCTTGACCTCTTCACATCATTGTATGACATTGACCTCTTCACATCATTGTATGACCTTGACCTCTTCACATCATTGTATGACCTTGACCTCTTCACATCATTTTGTGACCTTGACGTCTTCACATCATTGTATGACACTAACCTCTTCACATCATTGTATGACCTTGACCTCTTCACATCATTGTGTATCCTTGACCTCTTCACATCATTGTGTAACATTGACATCTTCACACCATTGTATGTCCTTGACCTCTTCACATCATTGGATGACCTTGACCTCTTTACATCATTGTGTAACCTTGACATCTTCACATCAATGTTTGACGTTGACCTCTTTACATAATTGCATAACCTTGACCTCTTCACATCATTGTGTAACCTTGACCTCTTCACAGCATTGTGTAACCTTGACATCTTCACATCATCGTGTAACCTTGACCTCTTCACATCATTGTGTAACATTGACATCTTCACATCATTGTATGACCTTGTCATCTTCACATCATTATTTGACCTTGACTTCTTCACATCATTGTGTAACCTTGATATTTTCACATCATTGAGTAACCTTGACCTCCTCACATCATTGTTTAACCTTGATATCTTCAAATCATTGTGTAACCTTGATCTCTTCACATCATTGTATGACCTTGATATCTTCACATCATTGTGTAACCTTGACCTCTTCACATCATTGTGTAACCTTGATATCTTTACATCATCAGGTAGGAATTTTACTTGTTTTGTTTTTATTATCTGCTCCATGGGCAGGAGGAGATTGCGTTTGCTGTCATTTTGTTCCTATTATGGAAAAGATAGTTTATCAAAAAATTTGCCCTTGTCTGTATCAGGGCCATTATTTTATACCATGTACATTTAACACATTAATACTAAATCATGGTCACTGTTCAGCACTGGCAGTGACATTGTACTAAGGTTCAGTAAGACACATAACAAACATGTACCTATGATGTTAAATGACATTTAGTGTTGAATTGTTGTCATAATCCGAGATTAAAAACACAAATATTGCTCATAATGAAATGATCTCGGCCTCTAAGGTACATGATAAACATGTTTACTATAAAAACATATTAATGCTATATTTTTTGCTTTTTCAAATCAATAAAAAATGAAAGATTTGATTGTTATGAATTCTGTTTACAGCTCATTATATACACAGTAAGGGCCTCGTACGGACATCTGCTGGTAACCTCAGCTGTAAGGCAATCTACCACATCAAGTCAGAGAAACAAGCCAACGCATGGGAGTCCTCTGTTACCAAGTGTCTGGAGGAGGCAGATCGCCAACACTATACTTCTGTGTCATTTCCAGCTCTTGGAACAGGTGAGAATTTTGTTGTTGAAGAGAAAGACTTACTTCGTTAGACATTTAAAATGTCACAGATATAGGTCACTTTTTGAATTTGTTAAGAAAAACATGATTAGATTCCGACTTGCTATATACTTTAAAAATAGTTTTCTATTCTCAATGTAGTATTAAGGAGATAAACCATAATATCTTTTGAGATTTGCATCAGTATTTCATGATTATGCAGTTTCAGATTGAGTTTAACTGGCGACATGCTGCAGAGCCAGCAAAACAGATATTTGCGACAGTACATATCAGTACAGTACGATTATCACTGTTCTAGTTCTTACCAGATAAAATCCCAAAAGAAATGACAATTTTAAGATATTTTTGTGCGTTCAATTCAAATCTGGGTCACTCGGCTGTAGACTGGTGATGTTAGGAACATTTAAGGTAAGGTGTACTTACAGTGAACTTTTGAGGTCACAATATTGTTTGTGATGTCATCAATAATCAATTTGATGACCTGTCAGCATTGTTTAATTCATTAACAATCGCTATCTAGGCTTCATATACAAATGGGCAATTAGCAGACAATATATTGTGGTTATACCATTGCATATTATTTCTTTTCTGTGTTACCAATCAAATTCTGTGTTACACCTGAAATGAAGTAGAATGATTTGTTCCTGTATTAACAGTGTTTTTTGGTAGTTATGACTGTCCCTTGACATTCATCTTTCCAAAATTATAAGGAAATTTATATTCTTTTCCTTCATAGATGTTTCACATAATTTGTCTTTTGACACTGTTACAATATTTAATGTCCTCCTTGAGAAAAAGTGTCGCAACCTTACCAATATATTTATGTACAATTATATGTCAAATATTGTGTCAACAACTTCATGAGAAAAACCAAACAACCTATCACAAAGTGTATGTTTATATGTGCAGGAACAGAAAAAAAAAACTATCACAAAGTGCATGTTTATATGTGCAGGAACAGAAAAAAACCCCAAAACACTCACAAAGTGCATGTTTATATGTGCAGGAACAGAAAAAACCAAACAACCTATCACCATGCAAGTGTATGTTTTTATGTGCAGAAACAGAAAAAAACAAACAACCTATCACAAAGTGTATGTTTATATGTGCAGAAACAAAAAAAAACTCAATGGTGTAGTATGGTCTGGTTCAGTTGGAGAGTAGTAAGTTGACATTGTGTTTTATATACACGATTATTTTCTCAATCAGGATCACATCAGCTCTTTGTTTTATCGACAAACTCAGCAAAACATATTTAACATGTGTTAAGGAAGGAAAATATCAGAAGAAATAAAAGTACTACTGCCAGGTTGTGATATGGTCATGTTACAGTAAACACATTTATCTGTAGGTCTACAGTACTGCTCACCACAGCCAGGTTGTGATATGATCATGTTACAGTAAACACATTTATCTGTAGGTCTACAGTACTGCTCACCACAGCCAGGTTGTGATATGGTCATGTTACAGTAAACACATTTATCTGTAGGTCTACAGTACTGCTCACCACAGCCAGGTTGTGATATGGTCATGTTACAGTAAACACATTTATCTGTAGGTCTACAACACTGCTCACCACAGGATGTGGCTGCTGCCATGATCAAGGCCACCAGGACGTTTTCATCGAGTGCCAAGCATGTACATGAAGTCAGGATCGTTGTTTTTCAGAAGAACATGCTCAACATATTCCTTTCTGCGCTCAAACAGAAGTCAGGGTCTGAAGGATTCTTCATTGTCAATGCTGTTAAAAACTTTTGTGCAGGTGAAGTCAAACTTTTTTTCGATCACATGGTATTTCATTTTTTTCCCTCATTCAACCCCATGTGTGCTTCCTTCTTGGCCAACAAGAGTGATAAATATAAGTTAGAAAACTTGTTTCCTAATTGTTGTAAAATAAATACAGGTTCCCCAACGAGTGATGGTTGGTTATTATGTTTATCTAACTCGGGTTAGTTAATTTTCAAATTGTATAAAGACACAAGGTTTACCGAACTAATCATCACAAGTTTGGGGACTTGTTTCTCCCATAAAGTTCGTATTTTATTTAAAAAAACACATTTTCCCATTGGAAAATACATCATGCGTGTTTACGATAGGGGAAACAACTGCCATGGAGCATGACATCACAATAGAAAATGATGTCAAAAAGCATTGTCACATGACGTCATAAATCAAAGATTGACCAATGAAATCACGTCCAAAAGTGTTTACTAACTCCTAGCAGGTTTATCCAATGAGTTGGGAGTGAAGAAACCTACAGTGGTTGTGGGAGAAATAAAGTTTATATTCAAAATATGCAAATGTAAAACTTTAGTGGGGTAAAAATATTACAGTTTACAATAATAGAAAGTTAGTTGGTGTACCTAAAAGTTAAATGATCTCTTTCTTTTACAGTTAATCTCTACCATTTACTGGTTTTCCATTGTGAGTGGGGGTATTTTTACGAAGGTTTATTTTGTGAATTGCTTGAAAATAGCAACTGTAGTTTTATTTTTACTGGTCTATTGTTTGTGAATTGGAACTATGCACAAAAAATTCTGAAATCATGGCAATGTACAATGTCATGTAGTTCAGAAAGGGTAGAACGCTACACTCATTAGTAATTAGTATGTGTAGATGTTAATGTTGACTTAGCGATTTTCACATTCCCCCCTTCTAATAGAACCTTCCTTAGTAACTCCTAATTACACAGGTAAACACTTACCTATCCACCCTACACTAGGACAATAGAACCTTCCTTAGTGACCAGGACTCCCCTCTTTATACAGGTAAACACTTACCTATCCACCCTACACTACGACAATAGAACCTTCCTTAGTGACCAGGACTCCCCTCTTTATACAGGTAAACACTTACCTATCCACCCTACACTACGACAATAGAACCTTCCTTAGTGACCAGGACTCCCCTCTTTATACAGGTAAACACTTACCTATCCACCCTACACTACGACAATAGAACCTTCCTTAGTGACCAGGACTCCCCTCTTTATACAGGTAAACACTTACCTATCCACCCTACACTACGACAATAGAACCTTCCTTAGTGACCAGGACTCCCCTCTTTATACAGGTAAACACTTACCTATCCACCCTACACTACGACAATAGAACCTTCCTTAGTGACCAGGACTCCCCTCTTTATACAGGTAAACACTTACCTATCCACCCTACACTACGACAATAGAACCTTCCTTAGTGACCAGGACTCCCCTCTTTATACAGGTAAACACTTACCTATCCACCCTACACTACGACAATAGAACCTTCCTTAGTGACCAGGACTCCCCTCTTTATACAGGTAAACACTTACCTATCCACCCTACACTACGACAATAGAACCTTCCTTAGTGACCAGGACTCCCCTCTTTATACAGGTAAACACTTACCTATCCACCCTACACTACGACAATAGAACCTTCCTTAGTGACCAGGACTCCCCTCTTTATACAGGTAAACACTTACCTATCCACCCTACACTACGACAATAGAACCTTCCTTAGTGACCAGGACTCCCCTCTTTATACAGGTAAACACTTACCTATCCACCCTACACTACGACAATAGAACCTTCCTTAGTGACCAGGACTCCCCTCTTTATACAGGTAAACACTTACCTATCCACCCTACACTACGACAATAGAACCTTCCTTAGTGACCAGGACTCCCCTCTTTAAACAGTTAAACACTTACTTATCCACCCTACACTACGACAATAGAACCTTCCTTAGTGACCAGGACTCCCCTCTTTATACAGGTAAACACTTACCTATCCACCCTACACTAGGACAATAGAACCTTCCTTAGTGACTAGGACTCCTCTCTTTATACAGGTAAACACTTACCTATCCACCCTACACTACGACAATAGAACCTTCCTAAGTGACCAGGACTCCCCTCTTTATACAGGTAAACTCTTACCTATCCACCCCACACTACGACAATAGAACCTTCCTTAGTGACCAGGACTCCTCTCTTTATACAGGTAAACACTTACCTATCCACCCTACACTATGACAATAGAACCTTCTACATTATCAATTCAGTTTTACCTTGCCAGCTTTTGTAAACTCTGGTTCTCTGACACAACCTTAAAGATAATAGACTCTGGCACTCTGACCCAACCTTAAAGATAATACACTCTGGTACTCTGACCCAACCTTAAAGATAATAAACTCTGGCACTCTGACCCAACCTTAAAGATAATAAACTCTGGTTCTCCGACACAACCTTAAAGATAATAAACTCTGGTTCTCTGACACAACCTTAATAAACTCTGGCACTCTGACCCAACCTTAAAGATAATAAACTCTGGACTCTGACCAAACCTTCAAGATAATAAACTCTGGTTCTCTGACACAACCTTAAAATAATAATCTCTGGCACTCTGACACAACCTTAAAGATACTAAACTCTGGCACTCTGACACAACCTTAAAGATTAATAAACTCTGGTTATCTGACACAACCTTAAAGATAATACACTCTGGCACTCTGACACAACCTTAAAGATAATAAACTCTGGTACTCTGACACAACCTTAAAGATAATAAACTCTGGTTCTCTGACACAACCTCAAAGATAATACACTCTGGTACTCTGACACAACCTTAAAGATAATAAACTCTGGTACTCTGACACAGCCTTAAAGATAATAAACTCTGGTACTCTGACCCAACCTTAAAGATAATAAACTCTGGCACTCTGACACAACCTTAAAGATAATAAACTCTGGTACTCTGACACAACCTTAAAGATAATAAACTCTGGTTCTCTGACACAACCTCAAAGATAATACACTCTGGTACTCTGACACAACCTTAAAGATAATAAACTCTGGTACTCTGACACAGCCTTAAAGATAATAAACTCTGGTACTCTGACCCAACCTTAAAGATAATAAACTCTGGCACTCTGACACAACCTTAAAGATAATAAACTCTGGTACTCTGACACAACCTTAAAGATAATAAACTCTGGTTCTCTGACACAATTTTCCTTAATAAACTCTGGCACTCTGACACAACCTTAAAGATAATAAAATCTGGTTCTCTGACACAATTATCCTTAATGAACTCTGGCACTCTGACCCAACCTTAAAGATAATAAAATCTGGTTCTCTGACACAACCTTAAAGATAATAAACTCTGGTTCTCTGACACAACCTTAAAGATAATACACTCTGGCACTCTGACACAACCTTAACGATAATACACTCAGGCACTCTGAGGTAAAGTTAAGATAATTTGAGGGGTATATTTTAGTCGTAAAATTTGTAGGTGGTTAATTTGTGCAAATTTTTAACCTTGCGCAAAATACGCGAAAATATAGCCACAGTTAAAATATCCTGATTTACAATAGCAATTTGATAATTATATGCATTCAAAATGTATGACATTTATTCTATGCAAAGGAATTAGAAAGAAGAGTGAAGAACGGAGCGTTACTGATAAACAAGATAAGGTGACGTTCTGTATCTGGGCGGCCTCCAAGTACAAAGCACAGTGTACTCAGACGGAGCTTGACATACTCTGTGATAAAAAGTGTAGAGTTACGGTGATAAAATCTCCCGTCGATATCATCAAAAAGCTGACTGGAAAGCAGGTAATGAGGTTTTCACTGATCTGATTAAACTAATATGTAAATGTTTGTGAAGCAACTAACAAGAAAAGAGTGTGAACCAGTTATCTGTTATTGTGTGTGAACCAGTTATCTGTTATTGTGGGTGAACCAGTTATCTGTTATTGTGGGTGAATCAGTTATCTGTTATTGTGGGTGAATCAGTTATCTGTTATTGTGGGTGAACCAGTTATCTGTTATTGTGGGTGAACCAGTTATCTGTTATTGTGGGTGAACCAGTTATCTGTTATTGTGGGTGAATCAGCTAAAGTGTAACTTCTGTGTGAATCAGCCGACAGGTATTCTGTGTGAACTGGCTGACAGATAATTATCTCACATTATAATTACTCATTTGAGCTGTTGCCATCTGTCTTCGTTCATCAGCGTGCATCATCCATCATCCATCATGTATAAACTTTACATATACTGAACAAAAAAAGGAAAGGCACAATTAAATCATGCAATCAATAGCCTATGATATTTTGGGAAATTTGTACAAAATTTTATATCAATATGAAGGGACAAGTCTACTCTTTACAATACTGTAGAAGAAAAGTCTATATGACGTCACTCGTGTCATCAGTAGTTACTCAAAGTGGGATACCTGCAAAAAACAAAATGACACTTCAGTACCTGGTGTGGGCACCTTTTGCACGAATCCCTGCACGGATTCTCCTATGCATTGCATTTTTTGACGTTTCCTAATACGCCTGTCCAGCTCATCCCACAGATGCTCAATGGGAGACATGTCGGGACTATATGGGGGCCATTCCAGAGGCTGAACGTTGTTTGCCGTGAGAAAATCACGACAGACTCTGGCAACATGCGGTCGAGCATTGTCTTGCTGGAAAATTAGGTAATGACATCTGAGAAGTGGAAGGACATGTGGTTGGAGGATCTGGTCTCTGTATCGAACAGCATTGGGGTTTTGATTCAGGACCACTAAGGGGGATTTTACTCCATGGGAGATGTCTCCCCAAACCATTACAGAAGCCCCACCGAATCTATCGCGTTCAACCATGCATGCATCGGCGAAACGCTCACCGCGTCTGCGATATACCCTTTTTCTTCCGTCTGTGTGATACAGACAGAATCTAGACTCGTCTGTGAACATCACACGCCTCCATCGACGCATCCCAAACCTATTCGGGCCATGTCTGCGCATCCAGTCAAGACGCACTTGACGTCTCCGTGGTGTCAGATGTGGCCCGACATAAGGTCGGCGCGCAATGATTCTCTCGGCACGCAAGCGGTTCCTGGCAGTTTGAGTACTAATGGGTCTGCCATGAGTACCTAAGGTATGTGACTCAGTCTCTACAGCAGTCTTGAATCTGTTGCGCAAGTGCGACAATCAAATCGCCCTGTCTTGTCATGCGGTCATTACACGCGGACGACCGCTCCTGGGACGATCGCAAACTAACCCAGTAGCACGGAAACGTGTACAGATACGGTTAATTGTACACGGGCCAACACCAAACTGACGTGCGACAGCAGTTTGACTATGACCATCCATCAACATCGCAATTGCTCTACCCCTCTGAATTTACGTTAAGCTTGGCATCTCGGTCAATGGCGAAATTAAAATGCCAACGTGGAAAATTAATGTGGCTGAACTTAGAGTATCCGTTGAGATTATTTGTTTGAAAAACTCCGGCTTGGCTTGATCACGTCTCGTGATTTGGACCAAAGAAGCTCACAAAGTCACACAATGACATCGTCATGCTTGGCTGATTTTAGGGTAGATTGTTGAGAAGGAAGATCGTTCTTGATGTAATACCTGACCAAATATTCCATTATTTCCTTACAGTTAAGGTGTACTGCAGGGGTGGAACTTTGTGCGTTTCTTTTTTTGTTCAGTATATTTTCAACTTCTTCTTCAATCTGAACTGATTGCAACAAACTTTCGTACACTGCTTGAGTACATAAAGGGAAATGAAAAGGTGAATTTTATTTTCAACACCCCTGGGTGGCAGGGGGGCGAGGCAAAAACCGTGAAAATAACCGTATGGTGTTCTGTTCAGGCCCAAGGGGTGGGGCAAACCAGCATCTGAGCAAAAGCCACGACAGAGCATAAATTTCCAGTTATCTCAAAATGGTTGACTTTTTGTATACACATATAAATTAGTATGTTGTTGTAAATTACTTAGGTATTGTTTTGATCAAAGGTCAAATGTCAAGAGGTCAAGGTCACTGACACATCAGACTACTGAAATTGTTGTCACAAAAATGGTAGATTTTCTGTATACACATGAACCTTAGAATAGTGTAGGCTTTAATGTAATAATCATTTTGACTCAAGTGCCAAGGTCATGGGATCAAAGGTCAAGGACAGAGTTTTCCTAGTATTTGTATTTCTGATTAACTCCAAAACTAGACTTTTTGTATACACATTTACATTAGAATATTGCAGGCATCATATGATGCAAATTAATCATTTTCATGTAAGTCATCAGGTCAAAGGTCACAGTCACAGACACATCCAGACTACTTAACTTTCTGATTATCTGCAAAGCAGTAGACTTTTTATATACACGTTTACATTAGAATATTGTAGGCATTGATCAAAGGATAATTTGGACACTAAGTGCTGAAGTAATAAGGTCAAATATCAAGGTCACAGACTCGATCACAGACACGTCAGATTACTTAAATTGACAGTGAAAGTTTATAGCACATCAGATGACTGAGAAAGCCTCTTATCTGAAAAACAGTTGACATTTTGTATAAACACCTCAATTAGAAATTTGTAGGAAATACCTTTAAGATTTTTTGCCAAATTGCAAGTAATGTGACTTTTCATGCCAATAAAGAAAAACCAAAATGGATGTTCTTGTACCACCCTCCCCTCATATCTTATATGCTTAGGCAGGTTTGACTTCTTTCCAACAACAGTCACACCGATTGACTTGTGGCTTTGAAAGAAATGTTGTATGTTTCATGCTAATATACAAATGTGTATGTGTACCAGCTAAAAGGTAATGTGTGTGTGAACCAGCTAAGTGGTAATGTATGGGTACCAGCTAAGAGGTAATGTGTATGTGTTCCAGCTAAGAGGTAATGTGTATGTGAACCAGCTAAAAGTAATGTATGTGTACCAGCTAAGAGGTAATGTGTGTGTGTTCCAGCTAATAGGTAATGTGTGTGTGTGTGTGAACCAGCTAAGAGGTTATGTGTGTGTGTGAACCAGCTAAGAGGTAATGTGTGTGTTTACCAGCTAAGAGGTAATATGTGTGTATGTGTACCAGCTAAGAGGTAAAATGTGTGTATGTGTACCAGCTAAGAGGTAATATGTGTGTGTACCAGCTAAGAGGTAATGTGTATATGTACCAGCTAAGAGGTAATGTGTGTGTGTACCAGCTAAGAGGTAATGTGTATGTGAACCAGCTAAGAGGTAATGTGTATGTGTACCAGCTAAGAGGTAATATGTGTGTATGTGAACCAGCTAAGAGGTAATGTATGTGTACCAGCTAAGAGGTAATGTGTATGTGTACCAGCTAAGAGGTAATGTGTGTGTGAACCAGCTTAGAGGTAATATATGTGTACCAGCTAAGAGGTAATGTGTGTGTGAACCAGCTAAGAGGTAATGTGTATGTGTACCAGCTAAGAGGTAATGTGTGTTTGTACCAGCTAAGAGGTAATGTGTATGTGAACCAGCTAAGAGGTAATGTGTGTGTGTGAACCAGCTAAGAGGTAATGTGTGTGTGAACCAGCTAAGAGGTAATGTGTATGTGAACCAGCTAAGAGGTAATGTGTGTGTGTACCAGCTAAGAGGTAATGTGTGTGTGTACCAGCTATGAGGTAATGTGTATGTAAAACAGCTAAGAGGTAATGTGTGTGTGTACCAGCTAAGATGTAATGTGTGTGTGTACCAGCTAAGAGGTAATATGTGTATGTACCAGCTAAGAGGTAATGTGTATGTAAACCAGCTAAGAGGGAATGTGTGTGTGTACCTGCTAAGAGGTAATGTTTATGTGAACCAGCTAAGGGGAAATGTGTGTGTGTACCAGCTATGAGGTAATGTGAATGTAAAACAGCTAAGAGGTAATATGTGTATGAACCAGCTAAGAGGAAATGTGTATGTGTACCAGATAAGAGGTAATATGTGGATGTACCAGCTAAGAGGTAATGTGGATGTGAACCAGCTAAGGGGAAATGTGTGTGTGAACCAGCTTAGAGGTAATGTGTGTGTGTACCAGCTAAGAGGTAATGTGTATGTGATCCAGCTAAGAGGTTGTGTGTGTGTGTGAACCAGCTAAGAGGTAATGTGTGTGTGAACCAGCTAAGAGGTAATGTGTGTGCGTACCAGCTAAGAGGTAATATGTGTGTATATGTACCAGCTAAGAGGTAATGTGTATGTAAACCAGCTAAGAGGTAATGTGTATGTGAACCAGCTAAGAGGTAATGTGTGTGTGTACCAGCTAAGAGGTAATGTGTGTGTGTACCAGCTATGAGGTAATGTGTATGTAAAACAGCTAAGAGGTAATGTGTGTGTGTACCAGCTAAGATGTAATGTGTGTGTGTACCAGCTAAGAGGTAATATGTGTGTGTACCAGCTAAGAGGTAATGTGTATGTAAACCAGCTAAGAGGTAATGTGTATGTGTACCAGCTAAGAGGTAATGTGTATGTGTACCAGCTAAGAGGTAATGTGTGTGTGTACCAGCTAAGAGGTAATGTGTGTGTGTACCAGCTAAGAGGTAATGTGTATGTGAACCAGCTAAGAGGTAATGTGTGTGTGTACCAGCTAAGAGGTAATGTATGTGTACCAGCTAAGAGGTAATGTGTGTGTGTTCCAGCTAATAGGTAATGTGTGTGTGTACCAGCTAAGAGGTAATGTGTGTGTGTACCAGCTAAGAGGTAATGTGTATGTGAACCAGCTAAGAGGTAATGTATGTGTACCAGCTAAGAGGTAATATGTGTGTGTGAACCAGCTAAGAGGTAATGTGTGAGTGAACCAGCTAAGAGGTAATGTGTGTGTGAACCAGCTAAGAGGTAATGTGTGTGTGTGTGTGAACCAGCTAAGAGGTAATGTGTATGTGTACTAGCTAAGAGGTAATGTGTGTGGGTACCAGCTAAGAGGTTATGTGTATGTGAACCCCCTAAGAGGTAATGTGTGTGTGTGAACCAGTTAAGAGGATATATGTATGAAATAACTATCACTTATTGTGTCTGAATTAACTAGCTTGTAATATTTGTGAACCAGCTGCCGTGTGTGTGAACCGACTAACAGTCATTACTCTGAACAGATGGTGTTCTATAGTTTGATTCCATATATCAGGTAGTTAGGAGAGGAATACATTTCTACATTAAACAATTATTATCGCTTATTCAGTTTGTAGTGCCTAATTTCTTTTTGGTTCATCTGCATTTTTTATTACTATTTTCCAACAGCAAGCCTCTTTGGAGAAATGTGTTGGTAAAGGTGCTCAAATGGAAATTGACACGGGAAAAGGACAGATTGTTCTGCAAGGAAATTCAGAAGATACTGCAGAAGCAAATGTCAAGATAATGGATCTTCTTCACGGTTTTGATAGGGAAAAACTGAAGGGTGAAAAAGCTGCAACTGTAGCCATGTTTGTACAGTGGAGCTACAGCATTAAGGGGAAAAAGAAACTGTTTTACCCGACCATCAATGATGAATTAGAAATGGCATATAAGGCTAAAAAAACAGGTGTAGAGATAAAAGACAAGCAAGGTCAGAAATACTATGTGGATTTTAAGAAAATGGAGGAGCATGCACTGAGTAACTCGTCTGAAAAGTTCCCAGTGGAGAGGACGGACAATGGGTCATCAGGTGGTGGTTATAAAGGTAAACAAGGAAACAGCCTAGCATACCCACTAACAAGTAGTTCCTTCTGACATACGCTACCAAGGAAACAGCCTAGCATACCAACTAACATGTAGTTCCTTGTGACCTAGGTTACCAAGGAAATAGCCTAGCATACCCACTAACAAATAATTCCTTGTGATCTAGGTAACCCTGACATACGCTACCAAGGAAACAGCCTAGCATACCAACTAACAAATTATTCCTTGTGACCTAGGTTACAAAGGAAACAGCCTAGCATACCAACTAACAAATAATTTCCTCTGACTTCGGTTTCCAAGGAAACAGCTTAGCATACCCACTTACAAATAATTCCCTCTAATTTAGGTTACCAAGGAAATAGCCTAGCATACCCACTAACAAATAATTCCTTGTGACCTAGGTTACAAAGGAAACAGCCTTACATACCCACTAACAAATAATTCCTTGTGAACTAGGTTACAAAGGAAACAGCCTAGCATACCCACTAACAAATAATTCCTTGTGACCTAGGTTACAAAGGAAACAGCCTTACATACCCACTAACAAATACTTCCGTGTGACCTAGGTTACCAAGGAAATAGCCTAGCATACCCACTAACAAATAATTCCTTCTGACATAGGTTACCAAGGTAATAGCCTAGCATACCCACTAACAAATAATTCCTTCTGACATAGTTTACCAAGGAAATAGCCTAGCATACCCACTAACAAATTATTCCTCGTGACCTAAGTTACAAAGGAAACAGCCTAGCATACCAACTAACAAATAATTTCCTCTGACTTCGGTTTCCAAGCAATCTAATTAAAATTATATCTTCACATCGCTCCCGTTTACTGATATGTTGAGTTGAAGATCTAACAACATCCCATAGAGGGTCACGTCAGAGGTCAACATGAATACATTATCATATTTATAACAAGCCAATCAAAACGCAACATAACTCTTTCTTTCAACCAATCAGAAAGCAGGACCTGTAGCATTTAATGCAGACACCTCGTAGCCCAAAATCCACTTTTTCGTCTGGTCCAGTGATAGTTTGAATATTGCGAAGCCTGACATTGGTTAATTTTAGTTTCAGGTTGTTAAACTTTTTAATGACAACATCACCAGAAGAGGAAGTCTCTCTTATTTCAAAGCAAAATCCACAAATTGTACAAACGTCGTCTTGTAGATAGACACGGCGTGGTGTCATGGGCACCGCCATTTTCGTCTCGGTCTTTTATCATAGCAAGTGTGTTCCGAAACCATTACATCATCACTTACAGAAATGCGTAAGCGCTCATCTGATTGGTTAATGCAAAGGTCGCCTGAACATGACCCTCTACGGGATGTTGTTAGATCTTCAACGCGACATATCAGAAAACGGGAGCGATGTGAAGATATAATTTTGATTAGATTGGTTTCCAAGGAAACAGCTTAGCATACCCACTAACAAATAATTCCCTCTAATCTAGGTTACCAAGGAAAAAGCCTAGCATACCCACTAACAAATAATTCCTTGTGACCTAGGTTACAAAGGAAACAGCCTCACATACCCACTAACAAATAATTCCTTGTGAACTAGGTTACAAAGGAAACAGCCCAGCATATCCACTAACAAATACTTCCTTGTGACCTAGGTTACCAAGGAAACAGCCTAGCATACCCACTAACAAATAATTCCTTGTGACCTAGTTTACAAAGGAAAAAGCTTAGCAAACCAATTACAACTAACTAACAAATAAATTCCTTTGACTTTGGTCCAATAAAACAGCCTAGCATACCCACTAACAAATAATTCCTTGTGATCTAGGTAACCAAGGAAACAGCCTCACATTCCCACTAACAAATAATTACTTGTGATCTAGGTAACCGAGGAAACAGCCTCACACACCCACTAACAAATAATTCCTCGTGATCTAGGTTACCATGGACACAGCCTCACATACCCACTAGCAAATACTTCCTTGTGACCTAGGTAACCAAGGAAACAGCCTCACATACCCACTAACAAATAATTCCTTGTGATCTAGGTTACCATGGAAACAGCCTCACATACCCACTAACAAATAATTCCTTGTGACCTAGGTAACCAAGGAAACAGCCTCAAATACCCACTAACAAATATTTCCTTGTGATCTAGGTAACCAAGGAAACAGCCTCACACACCCACTAACAAATAATTCCTTGTGATCTAGGTAACCAAGGAAACAACCTCACATACCCACTAACAAATAATTCCTTGTGACCTAGGTAACCAAGGAAACAGCCTCACATACCCACTAACAAATAATTCCTTGTGATCTGGGTTACCATGGAAACAGCCTCACATACCCACTAACAAATAATTCCTTGTGATCTAGGTAACCAAGGAAACAGCCTCACATACCCATTAACAAATGATTCCCTTTCACCAGGGAAAATCATGGAATTTGAGAGCAGTGGGCCATTCAGCAATTTTTGGTCAATATCAAAATTAAGAGGCGCCGTTCTATGTAAAATTAAAAGAAAATTGTAATATCGAGGGTCAGTTTCAGTTTTAAGGGGTCAATGTCCATTTCCAGGATTATCCCTGTCTCACTTCGGTTATGAAGGAAACAGCGTAGCATACCCACTATCAAATAATTCCTTGACCTAGGTTACCAAGGAAACAGCGTAGCATACCCACTATCAAATAATTCCTTGACCTAGGTTACCAAGGAAACAGCTTAGCATACTCACTAACAACTTATTTCCTCTGACTTCAGTTACCAAGGAAATACCCTAGCATACCCACTAGCAAATTATTTCCTCTGACTTCAGTTACCAAGGAAATATCCTAGCATACTCACTAGCAAATTATTGCCTCTGACTTCAGTTACCAAGGAAATATCCTAGCATACCCACTAACAATTATTTCCTCTGACTTCAGTTACATGTACCAAGGAAATATCCTAGCATACCCATTAACAAATATTTCTCTCTGACCTTCAATGTTTTCTCCAGAAGGGGGATTGTGTACATCCCTCCATTTATTTCTATTATCTGCCTATATCACACTACCTATGGCCCCATGTTTATCAATCCTGGAGAACATGTCAAACAGTTTAAGTCTCTGTAATGTAGCTATAACCAGGGAGAAAATTGAGCATAACCCGGAAAACAAAAAAATCTCGATATCTTTGATGTTTGCAAAAAAAATTGTAGGTTCCTCTCAAACAAATAGTTTGGTATATGTAGGTAATGAAAGAAACAACCTAATTTACGATATCCTTAATAAAAAGTTCTTAGTCCTTCTTGATGCACAAATGCAGTAGCTTATTTTATAAATATTTATTAAAGAAAGAACCAGCAATTCTAGTTGCCAAGGTACTAAACAAACTTTACCTGCAAGTTTGTTTATTTTAGTCCCCGACACGTGGACGTCGATGAGCCAGGGACAGCTTGTTGTGTCTGTACCTCTCCCTACCACCAACAAGGAGTACATCAGGGTCAAGAGTGAGTTTGAGAAGTCAGCAGGCAGAACCGTCAACATTCTAAAGGTAAAGGGCTAAATTATATCTATACCAAAGTTATTAACAGGTTATAATATAATATCAAGGTTCCTATCTGGCTGTAGTAAATCACAAAGGGTGGAGGTATTATTTGTATACATTATTTTGAATTACAGAAGTAACAGGTGTTAATTATAGACAGTTTTGATTACAGATACAAAGGGTACAGAACAGAGCTTTGTATATGCAGTTTGCAGCAAAGAAAAGGGAGATAACTGATAAAAACAAAAAGAACCCAGAAAAGTGGCTTTGGCATGGTACAAGTGTTGATGTCATCACGAAAATCATTCACAATGGCTTCAACAGGAGTTACAGCAACATGTGTAAGTATACAGAAACTTGTGTAAGTATACAGCAACATGTGTAAGTATACAGAAACTTGTGTAAGTATACAGCAACATGTGTAAGTATACAGCAACTTATGTAAGTAAACAGCAACATGTGTAAGTATACAGAAATTTATGTAAGTATACATCAACACATGTAAGTATACAGCAACTTATGTAAGTATACAGCAAGTTGTGTAAGTATAAAGCAACTCATGTAAATATACAGCAACTCATGTAAGTATACAGCAGCTCATGTAAGTATGCATCAACATGTGTAAGTATACAGCAACTCAGGTAAATAAACAGCTACTCAGGTAAGTATACAGCAACTTATGAAAGTATACAACAACTTTTGTAAGTATACATCAACTCATGTAAGTATACAGCAACTCATGTAAGTATACAGCAACTTGTGTAAGTATATAGCAACCTGTGTAAGTATACAGCAACTTATGTAAGTATACAGCAATTTGTGTAAATATACAGCAATTCATGTAAGTATACAACCCATGTAAGTATACATCAACTCATGTAAGTATACAGCAGCTCATGAAAATATACAGCCAATTGCGTAAGTATGCAGCAATTTTGTAAGTATACAACAACTTGTGTAAGTATACAACAACTCATGTAAGTATACAGCAACCCATGAAAGTATACAGCAATTTTGTAAGTATACAACAACTTGTGTAAGTATACAGCAATTCATGTAAGTATACATCAACTTGTGTAAGTATACAGCAACTTTGTAAGTATACAACAACTCATGTAAATAAACAGCAACATATGTAAATATACACCAACTCATGTAAATATACAGCAACTCATGTGAGTATACAGTAGACAGCAACTCATGTAAGTATACAACTCATGTAAGTATACAGCAACTCATGTAAGTATACAGCAACTCATGTAAGTATACAGCATCTTATGTAAGTATACACCAACTAATGTCAGTATACAGCAACTCTTGTAAATATACAGCAATTCATGTAAGTATACAGAAATTATGTAAATATACAGCAATTCATGCAAGTATACAGCAACTTGTGTAAGCATACAACAACTTATGTTATTATACAGTAATTTAAATACAGAATCATTTGTATATAGGCTTGGGTTTTGGATGTAGAAAGCGATTTTCCCAACGGAAATGTGTATACATGCATGAACAGAGATTTTGTTCACAGAAAGGACTTAAAAAGCAATTCTCTTTATATAAAAAAATATGTAATAAAGGTAGGATACACAAAGGAATGTCTTTAAGTATTTTGATAATTTAAACGTGTTTTACCAAAATCCCACCGGCAGCTGCTACACAGTTGTTCAATGTACGATTTATTTTCATGGGTCGTTTTAACTGTGTTGCTAAAGGCAATGGTTCCTACAATGTTATTTAAGTATTTCCACGAGTCCGAATCTGTGTTAACATCATTCAAGTGTGATTTTATAGCCTTTTCATATTAATACATCTGGTGAATTAAACAATTAAGAACAGTGGCTGTACTAATTAATCTGCTATTTTAGGACCATTTAAGTTACTATTTAGTTGATTATACATTCTGTACAGCCCACCAAGACACACAAGGGTTATTACTTATCCTTTTATGACCAATTTCAGGTGCAATAGGAAATGGTGTTTACTTTGCTGTGAATGCGTCCTACTCCCTTGGTGGGTACTGCCGACAGGACAGCAACGGTGTGTTCCACATTCTACTTACTCAAGTACTCACTGGAGACTCCTGCCAAGGAACAGCTGGGATCAAGGTGGCCCCTTCAAAAGGGGGAGCTAACTCTGTGGATTGTTATGATTCAGTGACGGACAACACAGGGGGCCCTTCAATGTTTGTGATATTTCACGACAGTCAAGCGTACCCCACTTACCATATTGAATTTAAGTGACATTGTATCGTAGCGCCAACATGAGTGAGTACCTAGAGTGATAAAAATACCTGAATGTTGAAATGAATTAAACCTTTCACCCCTGTGTAACTTTAGTAAACTCTTCCATGCATTGTTCGGGATGAGTCAATTATGGTTTACAGTGGTGAAAGAGTTTACTAGGAACGAGTCAATCATCAGTGGCCAGATAATACTTTCAAAGCCAATAAGTTTTACCGTTACGTGACCGCAAGATGTTTTGATATACATCAAAGGATCACACTAGACTTCTGGTCTCCTTCGATTTTTTCTATGACATATTCCAGGGGTGAAGAGAGCGAAAGTGAGCGTAACCCCTAGATATCGAGGATGGTACATGTGCCATTAATAATTCTAATTTTATGGAAACGATTTATCCAAATCAATCATGATTTGAAATATTATGAAATATACATGTAATTGTTATGTCGTTATGCTGGAAATATTTTGCTTGTTAGGGAATTTTATAGAAAGTATATATATACATTTGTGTGCAATTGTTTGAATACTTGATTTTAACAAGTGACTTTCTCCTGCTCTGTGGTTCCCCTGTTCTTATTTCCCTTTGTACTCTTTTCTGTACCCGAACTCTGCACGTGATGTTTCCCTTTGTTTTGCCGTCTCCTCTCTACATAGACTATGTTTATGGCTTAAGTTTTGCTCTGTTCATTGGCTATGATCTTGATGTATATCCAATTCTTTCCTTTAGTTTTGCCGTCTCCCCTTGTCTGTACTGAACTCTGCACATTGTATTTCATTTAGTTTTGCCGTCTCCTCTTCTCTGAGTCTCTACCTAGACTATGAAAGTGGTCTTCTTCCTTTGTTTAGGTTTTCCTCTGTTCATATCCTATAGTCATGATTATTTTCTTTTTGTTTTGCCGTCTCTTGTCTGTACCTTAATCTTGCAAGTTGTATTTCTTTTTGCTTTGTTTTTCTTCTTTGCACAGTTATAACTTCCCCTGTGACAAAATACAGTGTAGAGGAGAGTTGGATCAATGATTATAAAATAAAACATTGATTTTTTATTTGAAATTTTGTATGGATCGCTGATTATGAATTAAAAAAATGTATCGCTGATTATAGGATAAAATACGGATCAATATTTATAAGCGTTGTTTTTTATCACCCCACTGCCGCATTTTTTAATTAGCATGCCAAATTTCTGCTACTTCTGTATTGTATTAAACTGGTATCGATTGATCTAGGACGAGTGTGGTCATGAACAAAATGAGACATCGTTAATAGAAATACGCTAGACGACGTATTAAACTTCAAGATGGCTGTTTGGTTAATAACCATACATTGAAAAGCATTATTTTTGAGCCGTGTGTGCGTACCTGTTTGAAATTGGGATAAATTTCTTTCATGTGTTTCTGTTACATGTGAAGTTAGTGAACCATTGTCCTATGTCTTAATTTTCATATGTTTATATAGACATTTCAACGTCCCTGACCAATCTATTCTGTCTATGACCGTCCGTAGTTTAGAGAAAAATGAAATACACTGTACTGTAGCGGAACTGGATTGGTTCAATCGTCAGCAACCAGGTAGCTCAATTGTTAGACCGTCCGTCTAGAGTTCGGAGGGTCCCGGGTTCGAACCCCGGTCTGGCTGTTGCAGCTCTCTTTATCCTGTTACAGTACTATCCGACCTCCAGCCATAAACGTAGTACACCGTACCGTAGACAATGAGAGGAACATTACACAAGACTTCTTGACCCAGCTGCACCATACCGATGTAATGACTGTAGGAAATTGGTCCAGGATTCCGTGATACCACTGTTAAGTCGTTGTTCAAAGTAGACGTCAATGTCATCATGTACATCGACATTACAATAGTCCAACTAAGTTCAATGTTACGTTTGAAGACCGTATGGACGCTCTAGAGAAACCATTAGGTGTTCACCATGTTGGAGCCATACTGTATTCGCTTCCTGTCTCTGTATTACGAACAATTTTAGAGGATTCTACTAAAGCTATTCCTGGTGACATTTGAAAACTAGTTTGGAGACTTCATAAACACTCATTGAGGATATCGCACAAGTTCGACTCTTTAAACATGTTCGAAAAGTCTATCAAAGCTAACATTACCGTACTTCTGATACAAAAGTACCCCATTAATGTATATCAGTTATTCTAAACCATTGCTTCATTGCTTTTCAACTACAAGTAAACAATTTACCAGCTGACTTTATATGACCTAAGAACAATTAATCATTCATCATGCTCTTTCCTCATATCGCAAAAAACTATGGCCCGGCTGGAATGTAGTAACCGTCGATCTCGATAGTATCTATAAAGCAAAGCTTCAAGAACGTTTTATAAAGGGTCCTAGTTAGCGAGAAACTCCTGCTATTAAATGGAATTTAAATTTAACGATAATAATAGATTCTATGGAAGACTATGCCAGACAATGGGCACACGAGAGCTGAAAGAATATGTGGAAGACTACGCCAGACAATGGGCAAAACGAGAGCTGACAGATTCTGTGAAACTACGCCAGACAATGGACAAAATGAGAGTTGATAGATTACGTGCAAGACTACGCCAGACAGTGGACAAAACGAGAGCTGATAGATTAGGTGCAAGACTACGCCAGACAATGGGAAAACGAGAGCTGATAGATTCTGTGCAAGACTACGCCAGACAATGGACAAAACGAGAGCTGATAGATAATGTGCAAGACTACGCCAGACAATGGGAAAACAAGAGCTGAAAGATTTTGTGAAAGACTCCGCCAGACAATGGACAAAACGAGAGCTGATAGATGATGTGCAAGACTACGCCAGACAATGGGAAAACAAGAGCTGACAGATTTTGTGCAAGACTACGCCAGACAATGGACAAAACGAGAGCTGATAGATTCTGTGCAAGACTACGCCAGACAATGGACAAAACGAGAGCTGATAGATTATGTGCAAGACTACGCCAGACAATGGACAAAACGAGAGCTGATAGATTATGTGCAAGACTACGCCAGACAATGGGAAAACGAGAGCTGATAGATTCTGTGCAAGACTACGCCAGACAATGGACAAAACGAGAGCTGATAGATTATGTGCAAGACTACGCCAGACAATGGACAAAACGAGAGCTGATAGATTATGTGCAAGACTACGCCAGACAATGGGAAAACGAGAGCTGATAGATTCTGTGCAAGACTACGCCAGACAATGGACAAAACGAGAGCTGATAGATTATGTGCAAGACTACGCCAGACAATGGGAAAACGAGAGCTGATAGATTCTGTGCAAGACTACGCCAGACAATGGACAAAACGAGAGCTGATAGATTATGTGCAAGACTACGCCAGACAATGGGAAAACGAGAGCTGATAGATTCTGTGCAAGACTACGCCAGACAATGGACAAAACGAGAGCTGATAGATTATGTGCAAGACTACGCCAGACAATGGGGAAAACGAGAGCTGATAGATTCTGTGCAAGACTACGCCAGACAATGGACAAAACGAGAGCTGATAGATTACGTGCAAGACTACGCCAGACAATGGGAAATACGAGAGTTGATAGATTCTGTGCAAGACTACGCCAGACAATGGACAAAACGAGAGCTTATAGATTATGTGCAAGACTACGGCAGACAATGGGAAATACGAGAACTGATAGATTCTGTGCGAGACTACGCCAGACAATGGACAAAACGAGAGCTGATAGATTCTGTGAAAGACTTTGTCAGACTTATTCTTTGAATAGAAAGAGAAAAAAATCCACCTGTCATAGTTTTTAACAAGCATGTAATAAAAAAAATCGGTACGAGCCACATTTACATCAAATTATCAATTTGGTGAGCTTCGATAATTGCCATGTTTATCGCGTTCTGTCTGAAAAAGCATGTGATAATGAATTTGAACTTACTTCATTTTTCAAGACTATTGAATTTTAAAAGAAATGATGAACATTAACACCGAAAGGTTTTTATTTATTCCTTGGCACTGCGGGACTCAAGAAAAACAATTTTGGGAGCGCGTAGCATACTGGCGTCGAGTGTCAAACAGCCACGCAATATATGCGTCGGTTAGGATTTCAAAGCGTCATTTGATGTTCAAGATTTCCACTCATAACGATTATGAAATATAACATACAAAATAATGTAGATGTTCTTCTGTTTGGTGATCACGAATAAAATAACAGTGATTTGAAAACAAATATTGCCTTACCACGGACTTATAAAGATAATTTAATTCCGTAGATGTACAAATCGTTCTCATCAACAGCAATAGGATTTGAAGAAATATCGTTTGCTTAATTTAGCATTTCTTTACATCACTGAGGTCTTGCCCTGTTTTCTTTCCTTTTGTCTACTCGTTTTACTGTTCAATCACTAATTGCTGTCAAAGTATCTCATACTGTATTATATATCTATTTATAAAACTTCAATACGCCTTCTTCTGTTCTGCTGGTTTTTCCCACTTTCATTATTGATACGTTCAAACTTGTAAAGAAGAATTAGCTAGAGTTAGTGTATATACTGCTATTTTGTTCTCCTCTCCATTTTTCTCATACTAATAATTATTGTATATATTTTTTTAAATTTAAATGAAAGAAAATGTATTTTTTGGTTAAACTGAGGTTTCCGACCAAAGAGTCGAAAAGCATGTTAAATAGTATAACATGTGATATTCTTATAATCAGGAATTGCCTGACAGATCATGGATTCCATTACGTATTACCAAACAACGCCACGGTAAGATTTTCTGTTAAAGGAAAACATTCCGTACATTCAATACCGGTTACTCCGGATAATTCTATGTTCGGTATAATATACTTTCCAGGCGATAATAAAGTGAAAATATTTTTAAACATCGAAAGCTCCGAAATATTGTGTTTGTTTTTTGACATCCGGGTTGTTTTTAATTTAATTGATTTAAACATATTTTATTGCAAATGAGCATATTTGGCAAACGAGTCGGACACAAATTTTACTAACTTATTGAAGTCCTGTTCGACAAGAAACATGTTAGAGTTACTTAAATATACCTCCTTTTAGATGGATATACTTTTCGAAACAAATCGGACACAGTAAACATAAGTTTTATTGCATAATATAATTTGTTTCCATCTAGATTGTGAGTCACTGAGTTTTCATTTTCCAAGTGCGGCTTAAGCTTGTCATCATAGTGCTACAGCTTGCTAATGGTAAACATACGTGTCGGGGTTGTGTCCCGTTGAACGCAAACTAACTGCATTATCAAAGTAGCGCTTCATTGTAGCGGCATCGCTGCAATCCAATATTTAATCCGACGAGTTATTTGTTATACTCTCTTTGTAATTTATAGCCTATAGCATACTTAATGTATTGAGTTTAAGAGATACTCAGCCATTCTGGTAACATTCTGGCACTTATTTGCTTTTAGGATGAAGTTCCGTTAATCCGTCAAGCAAATGTCAATTATTATGACAGTATAATGAGGAGATCCACATGATTTATTATCTTGTTACATGAAACATGTTTAGGATAATTCTAGCATTTCACTACATATGACGGTATGTTTCCCTCCTTTGTTATCGAACACGCCTCTACCACGCATCGAGGTACGGAACAATGCCCTGATTTAATTCGGCCATGCTAGATGATACGAAGCACCTGTTTTGAATGATAATTGCGTTTATCTGTTTAGTTACAGAACAAGTAAGTCATTGATTTATACCATAAAAGTTATTACTATTTATTGATTGGATAAATAACCTGATTCAAGTTTCATTGAAACCAGGACCTAATTATAAGTTACAGTTAGTATACAGACATTCAGTACGTACCTATTGTGTAATATTATATTTGTCTATATTACGGGAGAAGTTGGAAAAACTTACCGACTTATCTCTTTGTCAATATGATGTCAATAAAATATGTTTAAACCTACCTATGTTAACGGTAATCTTACTTTAGCGCTTTTCGCTCTTTCAATTATAAATAAAAAGAATAATAATTCAAGGTTCTTATATACCGCTTTATCACAACCTAGTTCGTAGGTCGTCTCAAATTGGTTATTCAATAAAATATGTTTGCGCTAATTGAATTATCGTTTTCTATTGCATATATTGTGGGTGCGCCCATTCATCATTAAATGCGCTTATAAGTTGTAGTTTAATAATGCGCTTACATAGTACTTGTACTATAGTTACTAGACATACCCTGTTTTGAGAGTCCTTGATGGTTTTGTGGGTGTGGGGTCGTTATATGAAGTCAAATCTTCACAACACAATCGCAGAAATGAGTACTAGAATTCTAAAAAGGCGTTTTGCAGTAAATGAGCCCGGTCGAAAAATCGAATTGTAATTCCGAAACTTAGAATGGAAGATATATGAACAATTGAAATAATTATAGCATAACGCCTTCATTTAGTAAACGTCATGTAAATTTGACGTCTATCAGAATGTAACAGAATTAATCACGTTTTGAGGGTGTATATCATGGATTGCACGTTTACACCGCCATTCCTATGCTTTATTGCCGCCATAGAAAGGTTTATTAGCAATACCACGTGGTAAAATTGTTTTCTCTAAACGACAGTATAAAACTGGTCTCGGTATCAGTTGATAGCTAATTTACCTTGGATTGTAGAGAGCACGATAATGCTGCAATAAGTGCCGCATATCAAAAACAGCAGGTGTGGCTTCAGATACATCCAGCTACGAATGTGACGGGGGACAGTCCATGTTTGTCGTCACGAGATCTAAAACAGAACGCTTTGGCAGGTGAGGACACTCTAGCCGAAAAGGGTCACCAAGCCCACCTCCCCGGGGCAACGGGTCACGAAGCCCACCTCCCCGGGGCAAACGGGTCACCAAGCCCACCCCCCCGGGGCAACGGGTCACGAAGCCCACCTCCCCTGGGCAAACGGGTCACCAAGCCCACCTCTCGGGGCAAACGGGTCACGAAGCCCACCTCCCCGGGACAAACGGGTCACCAAGCCCGCCCCCCCGGGACAAACGGGTCACGAAGCCCGCCTCCCCGGGGCAAACGGGTCACCAAGCCCGCCTCCCCGGGACAAACGGGTCACGAAGCCCACCTCCCCGGGGCAAACGGGTCACCAAGCCCACCTCCCCGGGGCAAACGGGTCTCCAAGCCCACCTCCCCGGGGCAAACGGGTCACCAAGCCCACCTTTCGGGGCAAACGGGTCACGAAGCCCACCTCCCCGGGGCAAACGGGACACCAAGCCCACCTCCCCAGGGCAAACGGGTCACCAAGCCCACCTCCCCTGGATAAACGGGTCACCAAGCCCACCTTTCGGGGCAAACGGGTCACGAAGCCCACCTCCCCGGGGCAAACGGGTCACCAAGCCCACCTCCCCGGGGTAAACGGGTCACGAAGCCCACCTCCCCTGGGCAAACGGGTCACCAAGCCCACCTCCCCAGGGCAAACGGGTCACCAAGCCCACCTCCCCTGGATAAACGGGTCACCAAGCCCACCTTTCGGGGCAAACGGGTCACGAAGCCCATCTCCCCGGGGCAAACGGGAACAAGCCCACCTCGCGGGGCAAATGGGTCACCAAGCCCACTTCCCCGGGGCAAACAGTCCACGAAGCCCACCTCCCCGGGGCAAACGGGTCACCAACCCCACCTCCCCGGGGCAAACGGGTCACCAACCCCACCTCTCGGGGCAAACGGGTCACGAAGCCCACCTCCCGGGGGTAAACGGGTCACCAAGCCCACCTCTCAGGGCCAGGATACATTTTACCAATCTCATATTTTCGATCTTGTGTTAAAACAGGACACAAAGTCTCCCTTTCCGAGTCAAAACGACAAATCATGTTCACATCCAATGTCCAAACTGGATACAAAGTCGGAACCTCGGACCAAATCGGAATACCGAATTCAGTTCTACGAGGAAAATGGACTTACTAAGATCAAAACTATAAATCAAGCTCTGATTCAAAGGCTAAAATGAGATACCAATCTTGACTCCATGTGTCAAGGTAACTTCCTTGGCTGTCATGCATACAAACCAAACTTGTCTTCTGAACAAAAACGAAATACAAAAACAAAAATCTCCTCTCGGAAATGATGGAGAAAAAAGTTAACACAACAAATGTTGAGATTCTTTTTTATTTGTGACGGAGCAGCTCATATGCAGATATGACATAAATTATATCAAAACTAGATATAAAAAGTTCATTGGAAAATAAAATATGGGCGCTCTGTTGAGGAAAGACATCCTCTTAAACTTATAAATAGTCATCTTTGGTAAATAAAGATAGTCGCATTATTCTCTCCAATGCCGTTGTCCTAGGTCTACACGTCCCGCGGTATAAGCACTCGGTCATCGAGTGTGTTAATGGAATGATGTGAAACGGCTTGTCTAGCCTTGTTCTTGTTATTTAGAGAGTACTCAAAATGGCGGATCGTTGCTAAGATAGTTTGAGAGTACTTAAAATGGCGGCCCTTTGATTGTTGTATCAATAGCGGGAGTGGGTGGCTCAGTCAGTGTAGTCGTTGGTATGAAGCAGGCGGTTCAGGAGGGACAGAATCTCCCGGTCCTCCTTACCGGAGTTTACTTTGCACTTGTTGTTATAGGAACATGCATCTGGAAAAAATGGCGACAAATTTGCTCATCAGTCTGAAGAGGAGTGGGACATTATTGATGAAAAGGTCAGCTTAAGGTCACAATAATAATATCGTAGACAGAAACCCACACTTAGTGGGTAATATTCCAAAGGTGCGAACGTACGGTTGGCCGATGCAGTGGATTGAGTGCAGTTATTTTAAAAAACACATTGATGTATCGTTAAAAATATACAAGCAATTTATAATAGCTGATTATACTTGAATGTGGAGATGAATTAATATTTAATGTTGCTGTATTTGAAAGTTAACCATAAGTATGAACTTACATGCGTCACAACAAAGTCCTTCCGACACACAGTTGCCTTGACCCATACTTCCACAAGACGACCCTCGTACTGCGCATGCCTCGGTGCTGTCGTCCTCTTTCATGCACACACGGGACTCCTCGGTCCCCATTAGACATCCGAAGTCGCCACAACACGTGTTAGGACCTACACATTGACCCCGCATACCTGGTCCACATGAGGCGCACTAAAACAGAAAACAGTCTATATGACAAAAATGAAGACAACACGATATAAAAGCGTAACTAAGCAGCGTAACTCTGAAAACAGTCAATATGACAACTGCAAGTTAAGAACCATTCAGTATGACAACTGTAACGCAGGAAACGGTCATTGTGATAGCTGTAAATGAAGAAACATTTATCATGTCAGCTGTAACTAAGGAAACAGTCAATTTAACAGTTGTAACTAAGGAAACATTCGCTGTGACAAATGTTACTCAGAAAATAGTCATAGTTTCAGCTGTAACTAAGGAAAACAGTCAATTTAACAGTTGTAACTTTGGAAACATTCGCTGTGACAAATGTTACTCAGGAAATAGTTATAGTTTCAGCTGTAACTAAGAAAAACAGTCAATTTGGACAATCACGTTTACAACTGTTACTGAGGGAACATATATCTTGTTAGCTGTTAGTAAGGAAAACAGTCGAGTTGATAATTGTAACTTAGGAAACAGTAACTATGACAACTGTAACTTGAAAACAGTTATCATGTCAACTGTAGCTAGGGAGCTAGCCTAACATTCATCGATATATCTGATGCCAAAAGACGGGTCCAAGATCTTTAAGAAGCACCGGAAATGCATACTTTCAAAAAACATGAAGTTTACGATATTCCTCAACATGTGTTTACGATCTTTGTTTTAGCTGGATGGATTAAGTGTAATAAAATATTCTCCCTATGTACCGGCTTGTTATACTTGTGATGATGTAACCCGTCATCCGAATGGATACATTCAATTAACAAAGAATGAAACTATCAGAATACAGTCGATGTATGTTTAATGTTACAACAGTCGTCGTCCTCGTCATTGCGATGACGACTGCCAGACTGTTGATGTCACGCACGTGTGTGTGACAGTAGATCAATACGGAACGTCGATAAACATACGCAAGGCCCATCAAGCTCGTTCAGGTGAAATTGTATTAACTTCAGAGAGCTCACTATTCCCCCAGTTATGTACAGAATGTAACTTACAATCAATTTACGGCAAACTGTATCTATTACCAAATTATAAACATTACTGCCACCCGTGTGTGTGGTGCATTCACCCACGGATATACAAGGACTCTGCTGGTGGATTACTTTTGATAGCCACAATAATGCCCCTTTTTAGTATTGACACGGTTCATAATACACACACTTTACCTATAATTTAATTCTAAATTAGCCAGCATTCCTTCAATTTGTAAAATTGATAAGTTAAAAAGACTCCTGTTTAAACAGTAGTTTAGACATTTTTGAATTCCACCTCTTTGACCCCTATTTTCACTGATAAGTCATAGAAGGACGAAACCGCTGTATGATGCAGTGAAACCCTATGCTAGCTGTTATGTTATGTTATGTATGCTATGCTAACCATATTTAGAGAATCTGACATAGAAATAATAATTAAAAACCATCGTTCTGTTGATATACCATGTTATTGTACCGGCCTTTAGATTAAGTGTAGCTTATCTAGTATATAATGTTCACGTTTTACTCGCAAACCACTTGTCTCATTAAAATTGGTTATAAGGTTATCGTTTCTTAATTAGTAAATTGTGAATTCATCTCAACGAGCATTTCACTTATACAATCTTCTCAGGGTAAAATCTCAGTATGTCTTCTTTTATTCCGAAAGATATATTTTGATTACCTATACTGAATGTTGCCCTTTGATTGACAGTTTCGTTTTATCGGTTCATGTTGGTCAACCAAACCAGTATCCAAATTTCTTTCTACCATTCTCAGTACCATTTAATCGGAGTGGCAGTCGAATTGAAATACTGTATAATTAAAATGTTGAATAAACGGAATGCGGATTTTGAAGAATTCAAAAAATCTTTTGATCCGATATTGAGCATTCTCTTCTCAAAAATGTTTCTTTTGACTTTTCGAATATTACACTACAATTCCTGATACTGAACTGAAGGAACGCCTAAGTTCTCTTGTTTTGCTAGCTTTCTTTTCAAAGAAATGCGTAAGATACATATCTTGGTGAAAATCATTTGGGAGCATAATTCGTTAAAAGCACAACTAAGACCAAACTTTACTGAGAACGATATTGTAGTAATGGTTGAGTTCCTGGATGACAATATCTATGTTGAGTTCCTGGATGACAATATCTATGTTGAGTTCCTGGATGACAATATCTATGTTGAGTTCGGCTTCAAGAGTATTCATTCCCTTAGGAACAAACTGTGCCCCTGTTCTGGCCGAATTGCTTCTGTTTTCATACGAAGCTAAATGATTTGATGAGAGTTGTAGGACTGGTAACTAAAAATCTAGCCAAACCATTTACTTTCATATTCAGATATATCGACGACGTGTTGTCTTTAAATAACAAGAACTTTATTGACGACCACATCGATCGTATAAACCCTCCTGAGCATTCAATCAAGGGTACCACAGCCTCTTTAACGTATAGCAGGCCGAACAGGGACGGCTTACTTCTAACGGGACGATTTCGACTTTCCGATCGTGAACGTTCCCCATCTTAATAGCAACATCCCTTATCCACGGTGTGAAAGCGTCGCAGTTGACTCGGTACTCAACAGGTTGCTCCGAGTATCACGACTTCTGTGTTAGATGTCGACTGCTGACGGACTAACTTTAACACAGGGTTTCCAAAGATGCAGTTTGATGAAGACTATGCTCAATGGTATGGTCGTTATCAGGATCTCGCATGGAAATATGACATTTCCCTCTAATGAACCTTTCAATGACATAACACTGTTGTTAACAGTTTTTCAATGTTCAATGTTGTAAGCCTTTCTATTAATGGTCGAACGGTAATATTACTGCATGGTTGTTAATTAATTTTGGGCATATTTTGAGAAAACCATCATGTCGAAATACAATATACACTGAGGATGAAATTGTGAGAATTATCGAGCTCCTGGCTTACGATGTCTTTGTTGAGTAAGGTGGCAACGTTTTCCTGATGTTGGTACTTCTATGGGAGTAAACTGTGCCACTCTTCTGGCTGTCTTGCCTTTATGTTTTCACATTAGACTCAAATGATAGAAGAGCTTATTAGAACAGGTAACAAACACCTTTCCAATATTTCGATTTCACATTTAGACATATGGCTAAAATGAAGTCTTAACATCGTTATTGACCACGTCAATCGAATTTAATCCTTTTCAGCTTAACATTTGGTACAGTACACAATTTTCTACTTCTGTCGCCTTCCTTGAACTTTACTTACAGCATAAACAAAAGGGACGACTTATATAATTACTACTAAGCTGTTTGATTAGCGGTATGATTTCGCGGAACTTTTGCTTTCTTAAAAGTATCATATCGACATCGATATAAGGGCATAGCACAAGCAATAGAATGATGAACATTCAAAAAAGTGCAAAGACTATTAAATTTCGCTACAGCCCTCCCTCCTTCTTCTATGTCTTAGCCCTCAAAGACAATGTCATTTACAACCTTAGTTTGAGTAAATCTCATTGCTAAACCTACACCTAGTACTTGAAACAAGGGTTGGTCACAGGTACCAAAGTAACAGGAGGGGAAAGACGCACGGTTTCATAACTCGATTGTTGATAGCGCCACGTGGAAGGTCGTCTGCTAATTGTTCCATGACCTTTCTGGTATTTTAGATATCCTGATAATTAACATTGGCAGATGTTCAATTATTAATTAACACTTTAGGACTTCAAAATGAAGGCGTACGTGTGTAGTATAATGTCGTCAAGTGTCATTATATTTAAGATAATTGTCAAGGTCAGCATTTCAAACTGTTAATATATGAACCGTGTTTAACACAGGTCACGTGTCCAGGATTATCATGATACGATTGTGAAATAAACCATTTTTTTTAATGCAATTAGTGTGTTGATTACAAATTTAATTATAGGAAAATTACGAAATTTAAACAATTTTTTAACATCTAAAGGAAAGGATTTGAATTGGTAATTTCTATGAGCAGTGCAGTATCACCCTTTGTGACGAATTCGCTCGTTCGAACATCGAACATTTGGAACAAGAAGCAATATCCACTGTCCCAAGGTGTGCAAGCAAACATTATCGGAGCGATGTGTGGATGATATACTGCAAAGAATACAGAAAGGGTCACGGAATGTTTTGATTAAACATATCCACACCGTATATTCCACAAATAGTATCAAAGAAGCATACGACGAGGAACTCAACGAGGTTTTCCTTGACACACCCTTCTTTTATAAATAAAAACAATTGAACAGAAGAAGGTTAGGTCTTTAGCAAAATAGACGCATGCGGACTAATATCAGGAGTTCAAATCTAACTAACATTTGCATCAGAAGTTGAGGGTATTACGTACGTTGTTCAACAGTTGTGATGCGATTGTCACAGAGCAAAAGGACATAACACTGAGAAAAGTATCAAATTCGGTGTGCATTGGTTATCCGGAATGGGTATGAAAGAGAGAAAATCATCATTAGATATACGATGTAGGAATCACTTTTTTCAAAGTTAGCATGTGGATGCAAAATGTCTAACAAAGTCAACCTATTAACTTTTCTATTTGTCCGTGTCGTCCAGTTTTGACTCACCAGTGGTGCTTAAGGTCTAAGGAATGAAAATCCGTGTTTATTTTATTTTATTTTAGGTAGAAACAAACCGTGAGAGAGAAAAAAAAACTACCAAACGAGTTTCAACCTTACAGATTTACAACCTTTGGATACGACAGATAATTCACTTCTAAACTAGTATTTCAGGTAAACCTTGCAATGATAAAGTCATGATAGTCCAGCTACAAAGTAACGGCTAAACACAGGGACTGATAGTCCAGCTACAAGGTACAGTCTCGTCCAAACACGGGGACTGATAGTCCAGCTACAAGGTAACGGCCAAACATAGGGACTAATAGTCCAGCTACCAGGTACAGTATCGTCCAAACACGGGGACTGATAGTCCAGTTACAAGGTACAGTATCGTCCAAACACGGGGACTGATAGTCCAGCTACAAGGTACAGTACCGTCCAAACACGG